TTTTGTGTTATGAGTGACAGTGTTTCCTTTCTGAGGGACAATTATTGCCAATGTTTTGGTCCAACAAGCTGATTTTGAGACAGCTATGAAGGTTTTGGTGGTTTGACTGAGTTTTGTAAGTGAGATTAAATGATTGGCCAAAATGCATGTTGGTAATGCAGACTGTAGAAAGAGTTTTGAAAAAGTCTCTTCAGTACTGCCCGATGCTTGTTAGCAATTACACAAAACTAATATCTCATCAACAACTATCATCTATGTAAAGATATAGAGGAGAAATGTCTACCTGAGCAGAGAATGAAGTCTCTCTCCCTCTGTGTGTGTTGTTATCAGAGCTTCTACTCTCTTTGTTCACATAGCCGCATGGCCGCGTGACTTTCAGTGCACATGAGCGTGCCTTTAAGTGCATGTGAGCGTGCATGTGAGTGTGCCCCACTGGTTAGCTCACAGTCACCACTCTGCACTGCTCTCATACGGTGGTTACAGCTGATATCGTCGTTCCAGACTGACAGCGACTGAACCCACACTCCTGTTGCCGCTCAGGTCAACACTGTTAGCTCTGTTAGCTGCTAGTTGCCAGCTCTCTGGACCCATTGTCTACCTGTCTGATGACAGATAAGTCTCTCAGGTCAGGGGGCTATGTTTCGTGGGTTCTGGTGTAGCCAGCGGGTATCCGGGCTAGGACTCCGTTTGCTGCTCATTGTTTACTGTCCGATTAGCAAGTTGAGATGTGAGACTGGAGTTGGAGTTGAGAGACGACGAGTACGATCATAATAAAGGAGGGATGGAGTAAATTATAAAATAGATAAATTAAAACAAATGAATAAGAAAAGAAACCAGGTGGGGCTAAACTGCACCATCAGGGAGGTCAGTGTAGAGCAGAGGTAGCCAACACGGTGCCCGCGGGCACGTGGTCGCCCGCAGGGACCATGTGAGTCGCCCGCAAGGCATGTTCTAAAAATAGCACTAGGTCCCCATGGAGCTCCGTCTAAAATTGTAGTTTCTGCTCTTTTTTAATCAAAAACGCTTGCATTCATGTCGATTTTAAAAGGAAGAGGCCGCCGCACCGCACTAGGTTTTCAGGTTCCGAATGGCGGGCGCTTCCCGTTGGCACCAGACGCACCGCCCCCGCCGCGATCGCACACCGTCGTCAGGTCCGTCAGTCCTCGGAACAGGCCGCGGGGTAACAAGTCGTGGGTGGCGGGGGTAGAGGCGAGGCAACGCAGTACGATCGAAAAGGCCCAGACTAGAGGTTTGAACGCAGGCGCTCAAAGACGCTCGCATGCTTCGGAGGGTTGGATCCCCCCCTCGGCTATAGACAAGACTTTTTACTAGTTTCTTCGTGGAGAAAAAGGTACCCAAAAAATGCTGGTGACTACAGGCCGGCATGCAGGCTTCATTGCACAATGCAAAGTTGACCCAGATTTCCCAAAATGTGGTGATTAGTACTAATGTAATAGGATTCATTAAAAAATGTGAAAGAGTTGATTTTTTTTAACTTACATAAAATGTTACGAAGGTAGTGGTTAGTACAAACGAGTCATGATGTGAAGATATGACAGTTAATGATTTCCTAAATTTTTTTTCGAAGTCATAATTTTTACAAAAATATAACGGGTGCGATTTTGAACAAAATACACAATCATTGTTAATAATTATTGTGAGGAATAATTAACATTGACATGTGATCAGTCTCTTCACATGTATTATTATTATTAAAAGGTGATCTGTGCATTATTCAGGAAGTTTGTATCAAACAAGTAGCCCTTCGTACTGCTCAGTACCCTTGAAGTAGCTCAGTTTCAAAAAGGTTGGTGACACCTAGTGTAGAGTTATGCGTAAAAAGAGTAAATTGTCAGAAAATATGTCGGCAAATTATGAATAAACCACTGCACACGAACCAAAATCAAATCAGATGTACCTACTCACGGCATACGAAGGTGACTCAACCCACACAATAAGATACACATGCAAGACACCTACTCTACCACTCGGCCCCCCTTCAGCACAGCACAAAGCCCCATAAGAAAAGAAACAGAAAATGAAGTCGAAAGACATTTACATCCATTTGGAGTATTCTCATAGTTATGCAAGTCTCCAAAATGATGATAGATGGTGGATGAACAGTGACACTGAGGGCTTTAAGTTAGTCTCGTCCTGTTCAAAGCTCATTTTAACATAATGCTCATTTTCAGTTTAACCAATGGTAGAAATGCAGGTCGTCCTGATGTTCTTATGCAGTCGCCTTTACATAAAACCAGCAGCAGGAGAGATGAAGGTCTACTGAATCGCCATTTCACTTCATTTTCTTTCTATCTAAATCTAACAGCTCCAGATGAACAGGTCTGTGTTTGAAGAGGTCGAGCACAGTCAGCCTCCAAATACTAACATGGTGTTGATATGTGTGAATATTCCACTGTAGAGCGAGGGATATGTGGTTTATGTAGTCTGGAAAGCAGTGACCATAAAGGTAGAAAAAAAACATTCTCATCCTGGCTTTTCATTGATTGATAAATGATTTTAGAAAAATGTAACAAAATAAAAGATACAAAGATTCAAAACGATTTTTCTCACACAGAGGGTATTTTCATATGCTTTGGTGAAGCTTTGGTGGTTCCTTCTGTCCAGCACAGAAAGAACAGCTGTCTGGTGTTTAGACCAGCTCAGAAAACACAAGAATAGAGAGAACAGCTGATAAAGGTGTTCAACGTGCTGAATGTGAGGTGCAGACGATGTGGGTGTTTGGTGTTTGAGTCAGGAGCAGGTCAAACAAAGCAATAAAAAAAACACATTTATTAATAAATGTGTAGCTTTTGTTGGTATGGGTAGAACAATATTCCCAGTCTGAGATTAAATTGAGTCACTACTCTGTGGTATCTTGTGTGGGAGGAAAAATGTATGCGTTTGCCACTATATTCTTTTCTCCAAGGTTATCCTATATGTTTATTCATATATCTGTAAAATGTATTCATTTACATCTATATTCTGGGTCTGAGTCTATATTATACATTTGCTCAGATAATCTTTATAAGCTTACTTTGATAATCTTTATCTTTCTTACTGTTGTACTCTTTTGTATTAAACTCAGTTCAGGCCCCGGCATAAGTCATACAGTCACTGACATAGGATTAGTCACAGGATTCATGTGTCTAAGGAGTCCTAAAAATAAGGTAAAGTCCAGTAGGGATTGGCCTCAATATCACCCCCATCACGCCCGAGGAAAACAGGACGCCCTTTGTGTATGGGCCCGGGGACCAGAATATCTGGCTCTTCTTGAGTCGTTGTGACCAGCGGACGGCAGTGATCCTGTCTCCAGAAGTTTGACAGGAGCATAAATAAATAAGAAGGAAGGGAGGGGGGACTGAGGCCGCGTGGAAAGATCCAACGCTGCCATCCAAGCAGCACATAGGCCCATACATAGTAGAAGCACAGATACTGGACATTGGACTGCATTTCCTGTTGCGTTGGCATGACCACAGTTTCAGAGATCAGTAGCATCTTCTGACAGGTATCCCTCATGATATTGATTAATTAGTGAACCAACTGCCTATCTCATCGGTCCAGAAGTCCCCCAAAATCCCTCGGGGTAAACAGGATGCATATAGCCTTTAGAAATCAAATCCCCCCACTGTACTCTTGATGAACGAAATTACTGTTTAGTGAACATTGAGGGCTGATGAGTAAAAGGGGGGTCATCCTGCATGGAGGGGGGGAAGATTATAAAGTAAGTTGCATTTCTTTGTTGTAGTTAGTTGACTCCGGACGACTCGATTTGCTTGTATTCTGTACAGTACAAATAAATCTGCGTGAACTGAAGAAACTTCAATCTCCTGTGTTCTGTTGGTGTTCGTCACTGAGTTCCTGTGTTAGTGAGAATCCTGTGGTATGTCACCACGAGTCAGATAGCAAATACGTATTAAATCAGCTTTTAGATATTAAGGTAGAATCAACTTCAAACCAACGATCATCGACATCGAAAAAACCACAACACTTGGGAGAGGAGCAAACAGCAGGTAAGAATGGGCAAAGGCTACTTGGATGTATTCCAGTATCCTCCATCTTTCCAAGTGGCTCTGTCTCAGAAGGACAATGGTCTCCTCCGACAACAGCATCACTGTTCACACAGTACTTAGCCCCAGACTATAAGGGAGCTTTTCACACTGGCACAATCCTGGTGTATTCCAAAGAGGCAAGCCCTAACTGTAGCCCAGGGCTGGCTGACTCTACTCAGCAAAATCGACTAAAGTTTGGATTAAAAGTTAAGCGATGCGAGACGGGCCTGAAGTAAACAGTGGAATTCTTTGAAATGCTAGAATGTAAACAGCAGTGACGTGCTATAATGGACATTTAACCCAGGGCTAGTAGAAGTGCAGTGTGACACCTGGGTTAATAATGTGTGTGTGAAAAAGACTAAGATAGCCCAGTATTTGAATTTGCCAAAAAATACACATCTTAAATATTTGCTCGGCATCCATTGTGTTGTCTTTATTGTGTCGATATGAAGAATTGTGTCTCGCCCCAGTCCACATAGAAATGAATGGGAAGTGTATTTCAGTGCGACAGCACCATAAGGCTTCAAGACAAGCATGTGTTTTGTGGTACATTTGCAGGATTGACACGTGTTGCAGCCAATCACAATCAGCCGTGGTGGTTACCACGACTTGATCCCACGCTTCCTCCCACGCTTCCTCCCACTTGACCAAATGGAGATTTTCCTGCTCCTGTAGAGCAGCTGGTGGTAAACATGACGCTGTGTGTGACTGCAGAAGCTACGTCCATGTTCTCTACAGTCACTGATTGTGCTGCCATCTGTTAACATATGTCATATATACAGGATATGGAAATGAAAAGAGATGAGCTGGTGTGTGAAACTGGCTGCAGCTCTCTCATTGCTGTATGAAAACAAAACGAAAAATGAAAATAAAAATGCACAGGCCCATTGAGTATTGCAGTTTCCATAGCAACAGGGATAGTGATGTGTGTTGGTGTTGGTGGGGGGAAGGGGGTGTGAAACTAAAGCGGTAACTGTGGTCAGAGTGTGTGATGAGTGAGGATGAAGAAGAAGGAGTGGGAGAATGGAGACAGAGAAACAGGCTGTTTGTTTTTATTTGCTCTCTCGTGCACGCGTACATTCATGCATCCGCCCTGCTCCTCTCTTCCCAGGTGGAGGGACGATGACGCTGGTTGCCTGACTATCTCCCCTCATTATCATTCTCCCACCCCCTCCATCCCTCTCCCACTACAGCTGGATAAGCCAGCCGCTAACCGGCTCGACTCTCTCCTACAGAACAGGGATTTGAAGATTGCATCCTCACATTTGTAATCAGATGTAGGGAAGGATTATCTCAAGGTCTCCTCCATCTTGTTTACAGCCGGGGGGGTTGCTGAGACAAAGGAGATAGAGCAGAGGGATTGCATGCAACTCAGTGAATGGAGTGTAGTTAAAGATAGAGAGAGAGGGGAGAGGTCACCTGTGGATGTGAGGAGAGGGAGGAGGAGGAGGAGGAAGAGAATGAGGGCTTCCTAAGGAACTGCACCCATCACCCGACACATCCGACAAGAAAGAGAAAAAGATAGGCTCAGCAGCAAGTATCTCACTGTGAAAGGTAAGCTGGGGGATGAAAATGTTTTAACCCTCTTTGCTCCTAGAATCATATGTGGATCATATGTGTGTGTGTGTGTGTGTGTACGCTATTCTTGCATGTGTTTGTGCAGCCGTTCTGTGTCTGATTTGTGTCCATGGGTGTCAATCTGATTGTGAGAATGTTGTGCAGAAGGATGAGACGTAGTCTTTGGTTCTGGTTCAGGGAGGTTCAGCCCACCTCCTGAGGTCATTCTAGCACCCAGAGACGCTGCTCATTGTTTCCTTGAATGAGTCCTGGAAATGTCCCACACATGTTATCTGTCCGCCTGAATCTGCTAAATCTAATTAAAAATAAGAAAATTAGTACATCAAGTTTTGAAGTTCAATGTAGTAGATCTGGCATCTGAAAAAACAATATTTACAAAAGTTTAAATTCTAAAAGCCTAACATCTTTTAAATCAAGTTATACAATTTAGATTCAAATCACTGAGCCGCTGGAGGCAGGGATGTATCCCACCATCAGACTGTTAGCACACGGACCTGTTGCTGTCTGGGTCCAGTCACTTGCTTCATGACGCTTTACCACATTACGCGTTCTCATAATGTAATAATTCAACATGAATCCCTCTAACAGTGAGATGAGAAGAACAATATGTGTTTTTCCTTTTCATTTCTTTTTATTTAAAAGGGACTAATTTACAGTTTGAAACATAAATGTCACCATTTGCTGCACCGTACCAGATTTGAGCTTTAAGCTAACTCACATCTGTAGTACGTTGGCAGGTGAAAGCAAAGAAAGCAGGAGAGCAAAACAGTACAGTTCACTTTGTTATTGTCATCTATAGCAATTATTTGCATAAAAATACACAATTTAAATGATTAGGAAATAGGTTTCTCCAACAAATACATGCATATATCTGGCTACTAAATATTGGGCTCTGCTAATGCATTCTACCCACTCACTAACAGCACATGGGCCTGTAAAGCACTTTATTTAGGTTGCATTTACCATCCTTGGTAGTTAATGCCCTTGCACAGCTTGACAAGCTGTTGCACTTTGCCATACTTCCAATCATATCATATATCTTACAAACTGTTTTACGGTTCTATAAAATGAATTGATTGATGTAAGTCAAAGTCAGATAGTGGAGGAGGGCCCAAACCATTTAATATTGTATAAACTAGGCACACATTTGAAAACAATCTCAAACTCTCAAAGCTCAATAAATTGTGTTTCTCCAGTACCCTACAGTGATGAGAATGCTTTTTGTCCATGATTGATCAAGCCAGTGTGTAACCCTCTCCGATGCAATCATTCGCTTGACAGCTGCTATCTCAGCTGTTTTTGCATGTGTGTTTACAACAGTTTCATCTGCATACTATTGCACTTCTATATCATGACACTGTTGAGGGACATCATTAATATAGGCTGAATAAAAGGGGACCTAACACTGAACCTTGCGGAACACCCATCGTGAACCACAAACTTTAACACATTGCAACAACTCCAAAGCTCGCTGATTAACACGCTGCACCTCATTTGTTTAATCTCTCCACAAACAGAAATCTAAAATAACGGGTCAGGATTTTGGCCTCTGAAGCATTCTGGTTTCTGTTTTTAGTCTGAGTGGTATTGACCAATCATGTTCGAGCAGGCTTTGGTTGAATGCAGGTAAACAGTCCATGTGGAAATAAAAGAGGCAGAACTGCTGACTATGATTTGGATTTTTATTGGTTTAAAATTAGCTTCTGAAGTGTTTACTTGTGAAAAAATCCGGTCGAACTCAACTGCAGCCCCAGTCTCACATCTCAAGCTGCTAATTGGCTTGTAAACAATGAGCAGTGCACGGCAGAGGAACCCAGAGATATAGCCCCTTGACCTCAGAGGCTGATCTGTCGTCAGACTGATAGACAATCATGAGGGTTATAGATTTTAGTTATAGTAGTTATAAAATCATTGCTTTTCATGTTAGTTTATTCCTGGTAGACCAGGAACTCAAAACATTACTGAAATTGTATTTGTAACAGAGTTAAAAATTTTAAAAAATCAATTCTTTATCAATTCCTTTTTCCCAATTGGTATTTGTGAATCTTATTATAATTTAACAATTCTGTTGAGTATGTGTAAATTTGATCTTATTGAGTTATTTTTTTTCAGCTTTATTTTTATTTATGTTTTCTGCAAAAATGACGTTGCAGAAAGAGGGACCAGAGGGTCTTCTGCCAGAGCAAATAAATAGTGAACAACAATCTCTTGAGTCACATTCTCCCATGGCCTATCCACATCGGTTATATTTATACACAGTGCTGCAGATCATTATGATAAAATGCTGTATTTGTTATTATTCTTTGTCAGTTTTTCTCCTAATTGTTTGAATGCTTTGAGCTATGGGATTGTTGTTCCACTTAGTTTTGTTGCACCCCCTGCACATTTTGTCCTGTGTTCACAGATTTCGCATAATGCATTGTCATTATTCCAACAACATTTAGCCAAACAAATGAATTGTTAACAGTTGCAGGTTGAAAAGTTGCCTTACCCAGTAGCAGCCAACTTAGTTGCTGTAACATTAATGTTACATATGCATTTCCAAACAAAAACGGAGTAGTGTGGACGTGGCCTTAGTCTCACCTGGTGAATTGCTTTGCTAATTGCCAGGGAGGAGCCTGCACTTTTGGCAGACAATGAGCAATCAGTAGATTGCTGTCCTTCAGCAATCTACTGATTGCTGTCCTTCAACAAATGGAAACCAGCACTGCTGGTTTCCATTTGTCTACCATGTGTTTGTATCCTATTTCTGTCCCTTCCTCTGCCCGGTGGTCACGTAGACATTGGGCCACTCCCAGGTGCCGTGACTCCACTAACCTCATCCATCCTACTCTCTCAGCTCATGGCGAGCAAGTGGTTGCAGGGGGGCTCTGTAATTGCCAGTCGGCAGTGCCGAAAGCTGAGTTCATCTCAGGCTACGCTTCCTTGCTCTCCCTCAACTTTCTTGCTCTAACTGAGACCTGTCAGGTGTGTTTGAGGTTTGGCTGCATGTTTTAACTAGAGACCATCTTGTGATGGGATCACACCAGCCCCCATGCCAAATTGGATCAGGGTCGTAAAATTCAAACTTAATTTTGATCTCAACTACACTCCCGTAGTTTCATGACTACATCTTGCAAGGTTGTGACTCTATAGCAGTGACAGAATCTGTTCACAGACATGAACATCTACTCAAAACTCTTGTGTGGTAGTTCCTGTGTCTCCAGGACCACATTTGGCCATGATAACACGCAATACCACACCAAACCAGCTGTCACTGACGCTGGTAAAGAGTTACTTCATCGTCTTTAGTAAGCTTTGCCCTGCCAACTAGTGCAATGTGCTTTTTCCACACTTTGTTTAGCAGTGATGTACCGTGGTACTGCAGTACAGTACCATGCTGCATCACCTCTAGGTGGCGTCAAAGGTGCAGTAGATCACATTGTGATGTTGGGCTGAAGCCCCCCTAAAATGTTTTTCAGCCCCCCCCAAATAATTTGGCATTATTGGCTTTAAAAAAAAAAAAAAATCTTTTTTTTTAATTTTATTTTGGTGATGTCATTAAATTAAACTATTGTTTCTCACATGGACAAGTTATTTATAACTCAAAAGTTGACACTGTCAGGTCCATTCTCCATCCATTGTGTGCGGTCCCTTTAAGAATTAGGATTTGGGAGTGACGCGGATAAGAAAGCTAGTTTATCCATCTTTCCTTTACAAGCAGGAAAATTATTTCTCTCTCGTTATTTGAGAAAAGTTCATATTTGTGTTGTCAAATTTCACTATGACCCTGAAATTCTGTCTCTTGTGTTATCATATACTGAATGCAAGCAAAACTACAGAGCAAAATCACACTCTTTCTGATTGAACCAATCTATGAACAGTCTGAAACAATGGATATCCGCGGCCCCAAATGGGCCCCAAAAAAAATTGCCGCGCACCCTTGTGACTCAGCCCCCCCTTTCTTTGAATCCTAGATATGCCCCTGGGCTGTACCATGTAATGCATGTTCCATCTGATTACTCTTGGTAATGATCGCTGATGCCCGTTTCCACCAACTGGGCAAAGCAGACAACTAGGACCCACTAACTCTCTAGGTTCATTGTGAGGCAAATAGAAAAACATGTAGTTTGGCTATGTGGGAACATGCAGTAGTAAAGCACGATATCTACTGGCATCATAAGGCCGGGTTCTCCATTATTACCTGATCATGAGGCAATTTCAGTTGATATTGTGCTTATATGGGACACTATTAGACACCTTCATCAGACATACGTCCGTATTAGATCTTAATGATATTCTAGCACAGGACTTACTGTATGTACATGGAGCATGTGGCCTTTTTGCCCTGGGCCCCCCTGTCAGCTAGGAGTCTTGCTGCCACTCTCTGGACTGGTTTTACATCTTTAGTTGGTAATTTCAGAATTTGAGTGTCACAATAATCAACTCTACATAAAATAACATTTATAGTATTTATTATAGTCATATTACAAAAAAGTGGTCCATGATGTTTTTTTTAATTTATTATCTTTTTTAAATTTTGTTGTCACAATCAGGCTTTGCCTTGGGTGTTTTGTGTGTGGTTTTCTGTAGCTCCTCACTTCCTTCACCTGTCCCTAATCAGTTCATTCAGTGCACCTGCCAGTCACACTCTCCCTCATCAGCACAACTCTCCTCACCTGTTCTAGTCACTATTTAAACCCCTGTCTTTCACTCACTCACTGCCAGATCATTGTTTTGTTTCCTAACTACCTGCCCGTTTTGCTCTTCCTGTTCCCGGTTTCACAGTCTGTCTGCCCTGTTTTTGCCCTGCCTTATCCTGCCGGATTTCCCCCCTTGTCTTGTCCTTGGATTACCTGTTTTTGTTTCGTGAGTTATTAAAACCCTTTTGTTCACTACTCTGACTGTCTGCATTTGAGTCCTCATTATGTCCCGTGACCGAATGATCTGGCCAACAATGGACTCAGCAGACCACGGTTGGGAGTGCCATTCCCCTGGGTGGTACGAGCAGTTCAGGGGAACCCGCCTGGCTTTTGGTGGGCCTCGGAGTGTCCAGAAGGCGAACCGCGACCTGATGGACAACCCTCGAAGGAGAGGAAGAAGGGTCAGACTCCCGCTCCCGCTGGGCCGCAGCGATCCCCCGCTCCCGCTGGGCCGCAGCTAACTCCAGCTCCCCTTGTCCTGTCGGCGGTCCGACCGACTCCAGCTCCCTGTGTCCTGTCGGCAATCCGGCCGACTCCAGCTGTCGCCTCCGTGCCGCAGCGATCTCCAGCCTCCGTGCCGCAGCGACCTCCAGCCGCCGTCGCCTCCGTGCCGCAGCGACCTCCAGCCGCCGCCGCCTCAGAGCCGCAGCGACCTCCAGCCCCAGCTGTCTCCAAGCCGCTGCAACCCCCAGCCGTCTCCGAGCCGCTGCGACCTCCAGCCGCCGCCTGTTCCCCGTCTGATCTCCAGCCCCTGGAGACCTGTTCCCCGTCTGATCTCCAGCCCCTGGAGACCTGTTCCCCGTCTGCTCTCCAGCCCCTGGAGACCTGTTCCCCGTCTGCTCTCCAGCCCCTGGAGCCCTGATCCCCGTCTGGTTCCCAGCTTCTAGAGCCCTGATCCCCGTCTGGTTCCCAGCTTCTAGAGCCCTGATCCCCGTCTGGTTCCCAGCTTCTAGAGCCCTGATCCCCGTCTGGTTCCCAGCTTCTAGAGCCCTGATCCCCGTCTGGTTCCCAGCTTCTAGAGCCCTGATCCCCGTCTGGTTCCCAGCTTCTAGAGCCCTGATCCCCGTCTGGGTTCCCAGCTTCTAGAGCCCTGATCCCCGTCTGGGTTCCCAGCTTCTAGAGCCCTGATCCCCGTCTGGGTTCCCAGCTTCTAGAGCCCTGATCCCCGTCTGGGTCCCCAGCTTCTAGAGCCCTGATCCCCGTCTGGGTCCCCAGCTTCTAGAGCCCTGATCCCCGTCTGGGTCCCCAGCTTCTAGAGCCCTGATCCCCGTCTGGGTCCCCAGCTTCTAGAGCCCTGATCCCCGTCTGGGTCCCCAGTCTCTCGAGTGCAGTCCCCCTCCTGGTCCCCAGGCTCTCGAGTGCAGTCCCCCTGATCTCCAGTCCCTAGAGTTCCGTCCTCCTGACCCGCAGTCTGGCCGGACCCCCTCCACCCACCCGGTTGTGGACTTTGACTCTCGGCCTCGGAGGAGTTATTTCCCTCCTCCGGGCCCCCACTGCCCTCCCTTGGAAGATGTTTATGTTTTGTTTTGGGACGTCTGGAATCCGTCCCTTAGGGGGGGGGGTGGGTGGGTGGGTGTACTGGCACAATCAGGCTTTGTCTTGTGTGTTTTGTGTGTGGTTTTCTGTAGCTCCTCACTTCCTTCTCCAGTCCCTAATCAGTTAATTCAGTGCACCTGCCAGTCACACTCTCCCTCATCAGCACAACTCTCCTCACCTGTTCTAGTCACTATTTAAACCCCTGTCTTTCACTCACTCACTGCCAGATCATTGTTTTGTTTCCTACCTACCTGCCCGTTTTGCTCTTCCTGTTCCCGGTTTCCCAGTCTGTCTGCCCTGCCTTGTCCTGCCAGACTTCCCCCCTTGTCTCGTCCTTGGATTACCTGTTTTTGTTTCGTGAGTTATTAAAACCCTTTTGTTCACTACTCTGTCTGCATTTGAGTCCTCATTATGTCCCGTGACATTTGTATTATTAAATTGTTGAAGGCAATACAGTGAGCAATAGTTAGACTTACACTCTTGATGCAAAATTGTCAAATTTAAAAGTGCAAGGACAACAGGATTATTTGTGTTCTAAGTGTGAGACATCCACACTCACTTGTTTTATTTCTATTAAAGGTTTTCCATGGCAGATGCCGGGCGTCCTGTGTCAGAGCAGCTCCCACTAGGGGTCGCTGCTTCCTTGGACTCTACCCTCTCTGATCATTCGCTCTTTGACACCTCCAAGACACAGACAATAACACCCTCCAGACTGGCAGGAGGACCAGGTAACACCTCCCAGGAGGAACCAAAAAAGGCCATCAGAGAGATCTGTAAAGAACATCCAGCTACTTCTACGACCAGAGAAACCAATTGCAGCAGTCTGAGGGTCAGCGGGGAGCCTGGCGACCAAGAACGAAGCCAATCAGAATGCCTGGTGCCGTCCAGGGCTTCAAGCCACCTCCATGGTCTGGCTGAGACGCATACATCCACACATCACCACGAGTCCGTGAATGCAATCGATGACAATCCTTGGGCTGGTCAGACAGAGCAGAGCATGAAGCCGGCCTACCTCCCTGTTCACAGGAGCCACTCAGACACTTTACCTCTGGTTCAACAGGGAGTGGCCCCCCGGGCTCCAGTCAGCGGGACTCGTGCACCTGCTTACTACGGTGGAGAAAAAAGTAGCCAACAGGCCCAGACTCACTCCATGTTAGCCTGCAAGCAGCCCATGCCGCTGCAGCAGTGCAGCATCATCACCACCATTTGCAGAGGGGCCATCAGCGAAGAAGGTGGTGCACAGCAGCCTCAGACCAGGTGTGTCTGTGTCTCGTCGCCCAAGGCAGAACCCAAAGTGCAGGGTGTTGGAGAAACGGGTCCTTTTCCCCCTAAATGTAACAAGACACTCTGCTATGGCTGTTACAACCATCATGTCAATTTTGAGGACACATTCGCTGCCTACTGTCACCCCCAGCCCATCCCAGCCCCCTCTCAGCTGCTGCACCGCCCGGCCGGCATAGAGCCAGACTGTGACATCCAGGATGCGGTGGCACCTCCTTCAGCGACGAACCACCTCACCCTACCTCGCCTCATCTCCTCTGTTAGTGAGACGGGCCTGGATGCCAAACACCTGCTGCGGTGCTGCAACCTCAACTGCTCTTGGATCAGCTTGCTGCCTCCTGGTGCTGGGCCACAGTCCCAAAAACACTTTGGTGGTGAAGAGTGCTGCATCAGTCCCGTTAGCCATTTCAGAACCATAACTCGGGAAGCGGGGACTATGACGGCCCACAAAGTGCTGAGGGATGTCGGGGTGCAGACAGGACATATTGTCACGCCCCATGTGTTCCCCCAGATCTGCCTGGCAGAGGAGAGCAGGACGTCCTGCAGCCAGACTCTCAAGAAGCCAGGCGGTGCTCCCAAGTCGCCAGTAAAGGAGGTGAAGTGGGATGCAGAAGGGATGACGTGGGAGGTGTACGGGGCCTCTGTGGACCCGGAGGAGCTGGGCGTGGCCATCCAGAAACACCTGGAGATGCAGATCAAGGAGACAGCGAGCCAGGCGGCCAAGCTGTTGCGTCAGGACACCAACGTCTCTCAGCAGGTCGGGAACGCCGGCTGTCAGAGAAAGAGGAGCAGGATGATGAGCTCCATCCGAACCCCCGCCTGCTGCACTCGCAGCACTACAACTGTAGACTAACGGGACATGGGTAAGGCTAGTCTCAGCCCATGGAAGATAGAATAATCTGCATACCAGAACCAATGGAAAAGCTTGTTATGAAATGACATTTAAAGATTTGTGGTTTGAAAAGAGGAAAAAGAAAAAGCGCTGAGAAGGAAGCAAATGATGAACTAACAGCGGTGTTATATTTCATCATTTGATGTCTAATGGTTCAACGTTTCAACTATTGGAATCATGATTCCTGCAGCTGTGCACTGCCAGTGTTTTCAGAGGGCAGTGCAACCAAACCCTCTTAATCCCTGCTTCGCCGCCTCCTCCCTCTCCCATCCCCACCACTTTGTGGGTTTGGTGTGCCTCCGCCTGGCTGACTGGGGCTCCACATGGTGTTTGGCCTCTTGAGTGACATGCGCTGACACATTGCAGGGGATGCTTTATCTGACATTCCAGTCTACGGCCACTGAAACAGCCATAGAGTCCAATTCACCCCTTTCTTCACAAAGCATCACCACATGATACTAAAACATCAGCCTTCTATTGATACGATGCTGGAGAGTGGGGTTTTGTGACATGTTTTTAAATGGCACACAGCAGTAACATGTCATAATCAGTAGTGGCTTATATATGCCTAGGGTGAGTGCTACCTGAAGAACAGCAAAGCACTGGTCACTTCTCAATCCTGAGGCTGCTGTACTTTATGTATTCATGGCTCTGGCACCAGCTCATAATCTACAGCAGTCTTTCCCAAACAATGGGTCGGGACCCTCAGGTCGGTTGCAGGAGATTTTATTTGGGTCGTCAAATAAATGAACAGAATTTCATCCATAGTCTTTTATTTACACATTTCTATCTACAGTACACCTTTGAGTGTTTGTAGTATTCTGATAATTAGCCTACTTAAATAATATGAAAGGCTAGCATACGTTTTGTTTGTTTAATTGATGACAGGGGGAAAAGGTTCTGTTAACACAACCTAAATGCATATCGTTTAACTGATGAGAGGAAATGAAAAGAATGACATTGCGAGTTGTGATTTTTCAAACATATAACTTTTCTAAATATCTGCTTTACCTCTTCAAGATGATATATGGTGATGTGGAAATGGCAATTATTAGGACTGTTCATTTATACACAAATTTGCTTTTCTCACATTTGTTTGAGAAATGAGTCCCTAGAAAGCAGGTTTGGGAAGCACAGATCTACAATAACACATTAGTATTCATTGTGGGGTGAAATGAACACTGCAGCCTACTTTAATCATGTTTATATGATCCAGACAAGCCTCTCCACTTCCTTGTCACAACTGTGTAACTGATGTTAATGTAATACAGCAAAGCATCAGCAAAGCATCAGCAGATAAATTGCCCAGTCAAGTATCAGAAACACCGGTAATGGAAAATACATAATTTAGGTGGTATGAAATCAGTAAATCAAACTGTTTCACTTCATAGAGCAAAGACAATAGAGCTCCTGACCCGAGCCACGCAGTACACCACTGTGGGATTCATCAGTGTCATCTATGAATGAAACAGAGACTAAGAAGGAAACGTGACTGTGCATTAAGTGTCTAACACACTGTGAAACACAAGCATGTGCTGCAGTATTCCTCCTGCTGCTGAAGAATCCTGTTTTACAGACTTCTCCGTTCCTGATGCCATAACTTTTTTTATTAGAAAGAAACCCTTGAATAATGAAACATGTGAAGGGTGAGGTTATCAGATTTTATTTTGTGTAAAACGTAAAGATGTTTTAGTTTACTATATATATCATACTTCGGTATACTGTATCTTAATGATTTACAGATATATCGTCTTCATTTTTGTGAAACAGACATTGAATGTATTTCTGCTTTCTCCAGTGATCTTCAGCTCCATTATTCATATTTCCTTTCTGTTTGTTTCCACTTGTGTCTAGTTAAATCCATTGCCAGAGGTTATGTGACGTCATCAACTCTGTTGTGTCAGTTCAGTGTAAAGCTTTTGCAAACAGACTGGATTAAAGGCCCAGACACACCAAACCAACATCAGAGAACTAAGCGGCGACGAAGGGCGACTATTGTGTCCTTGTGAAAATATTTGTGTAATGGAATGATCAGATGAGATGAAGATGAAAAATGAAAGATGAAAAGAGGCTTCTGTGTATGTCCTCTTACTCTGATTTGCTTCAGCTGAACAGCCAATCAGAGTCACTTCTCTCACCCACGGGCTCCGCCGCAGATTCAACCAGTTCAATCGGTGGAAAAGCTACTGACAAGGGCTGACAAGGGCTGACTGGTGCCGATGGTGCGCTCCGACGGCCTGGTGTGTCGGGGCCTGAACTGACGAATAGTTTGCCTGAAGTTTTAATGGACAGCGTGACGTTCTGAATGAATATCAGTTTCATCTCTTTAAGTCCAGTACAGAGATAGATAGGTCGAGGAAGTATTTAGCCTAGCTTAGCATAAAGACTGGAGGTAGACTACCAGCCTAGATCCATCAAAGGAGAAACCGTATGCCTGAATGAGGTTGAAGCTGTGACTGATGTTGTGCTCTCTACAAATCAGTTTACAGAGATGAAACTCATATCTGCTCATCTGACTGGCTGAAAAATAACTGACATGTAATATGTTCTGTTATGTGTTGTGTTAAACGTGAAGCGAGGAAATGAGAATTAAGAGACTTGGGATGTACCCCATGCCTCTAAACATGCTGTTCTGCTCCACTTCCTTCGTCCTGGTCCACACTTGACAACAACAGCCATTCTGATTGGGCTGGGAAGCCCCTACAGCCAGTCTCCACAGGAAAAAACATTGCCTGCCTTGTCCTTACACTCAAACTAAGGACTGGTACTTCAATGGGCCTCTTCACAACCCTCCTCAGGGTATTGTCAGCTCAACCAGAATAAATTTCCGGTCCTTAGTTGACCACAATACAATGTCCGGACGGAAGGTTGTGTGGCAGCCTGCTTCCCTCTTGGACTGTCACCTTCCAGGACATGGCAGTTTGCTGCAGGCGACTGTACCGCCCTTAAAGTTATGTTTTGCACTCCGGACTGTTTGTGTACCAGTGTCCCTTTCTGACTATAGAGCTTGCAGTAAGGGTCCTCTCTCAGCCCCCACGTGTGCAGATGTGATGGCGAAGGAAGGGTATCGTACACGGATCCGAAGAGGAAGGAAATACGGAAGGGCTTCAGTCTCCACAGCTCTGACCATGTGATCTTGTGCTTGTGCAGATCCCATTTCAACCAGGCGCCTTGGGACTGAGAGTAGGAGTCCGATAGCATTGACTAGGGGTACATCCCAAGTCTCTTAATTCTCATTTCCTCGCTCCTCGATCCTCGCTTGAACCGGAAGTTGTTCTGGCCGCCATATTGACGGCTGTCCCAAAGCTCTTATTTAGCTCCGAGGAGAGAGGATCGAGGAGAGAGGAGGGATCTCCGAGGAGCCATGAGCGAGGACCCACGAGAACAGACTTCCAGGAAGTCTTTTAACGGCCGACACGCCCCCTCATTGTTCATCAGTCATGTGGTTGGACTCTGCAGCCGATCGGACTGATGAGATTTTTTTCAACATGTAAACAGTGAAGACGGACCACAGATTAAACTCTAGCTTTATATTTGATTAGTTTCTGATTCAACATCTGGTTTAAATAAATGTTCATTGTAGACTGAACAACAAAAGGACCACAAACAACTTTCTGCATTTATTAGAAAGATTTGTGTTTTCATGATCTGATGTTTCCCTCAATAACTTTATTATGAATACAATTAAAGTTAGAGGGAGCTGGAGAGACTTAACACTTTTTACATCATTTATCATCATTTCATTCAGTCACGTGAGGCTGTTCAGTCCTGATTGTCGGGTTTGATGAGTTTTATCATTTAAGAGAAACAATAATCATATTCTGGGTTATTTAATAATGACGCCACAATCTGAATTTCAAAACATACAGACACAAATAATTCATAAATAAGACGATCGCATTCCGCCGGTGGAAATCGATCCTGAGCTTATAAACAGAACACAGGACACAGTTTGTTAACAGACTACAGAGAGAAACACCTCTACAGTGGTGATTACTGTGTGTCTTTATTAGTTATTGGTATTATTAGTTACTGTTATTAAGTACAGTGATCATGTGAACAGATACAAACTTATCAAAAGTCTCTCCAGCTGTTAAAGCCGACTGACAGCTGATCAGCTGTGATCATCAGCCACCGTCATCAGAAACAGACATCACTTCACGTGACACAACTGAGGAAAGGACGTCTCATGTCTCTTAAAACATATTTCCTCGTTCCTCTCTCCTCGCATGGTTTCCTCCATGCATCCCTGGTGGGAGGGACTAGGACGCAAGGAAAGGACCCAAGTGAGGGAAACGGGGATGCAATTAAGAGACTTGGGATGTACCCTAGGGTGTTGAAGAATAAGAGAGGACATGTGGAACCGGCCAAAGTGCTTTATATAATTCTCTTAAAATTAAACAGATTTTAACATGGTGTTTGGATCTACAGCAACTAGCCTATGCATCTCTGAAAAAGTTGCAGAGTTTGAGAAAACAATTGATGAATTTGGAAAAGGAGCCAAGAACAAGAACCACAATAATATAACTTAAAAACAGAAATGAAGAGTTCAGGCTAGTTAAGCACAGATTAACAGAAAGGTAGCAGAAGCAGTGAGAAGAGAGAGCAGAGAGATGTTTTATAGAAGTCTCTACTGACTCAGAAGCTGCAACCTTCGGTCATGCAGATAAATTATAGACGTCATTCCTCGAACCAACACTGTTTTTGGTGAAAGTTTTTGGACCATCATACTGTTGTGAGCTATAGAGACATTTAAACAAGACTTTTTACAATAATACAATAATATCCAGATTAAGATTACAGAACTAAAGAGCACAATATTTAAAATAGGAAAACATTACAATTAACATGTGCCTTTTGTGGAGGAGAAGAAACATCAGATCATATATATTTCACAGAGATCAGAGTTTTATGGATTATCTCACTCCATACCGGTTGGTGGCAGTAATGCACCATGTGACCACTTGTGAAGCATTCAAAGCTGGAGCGGAAATGTGGGCTGAGCTAAGCAGAGTATTGGGAAAATGGCGGCGACCATGAGCAACGTGGAAGAAATTCGGAGTCGGGTAATACTGGGGGAATATAATATAACGAATGTAAGTCCGTTTTTATTAATGGTTTTATGACAACATTATCTGCTAGTTGCGGCGTCCAGGTTCCTCTGAGCTGCTGCACGGACACGCTCAGTCACCCACGAGAGCGGAACACGTAACGTTACTGCCGCGCGCTCTAACGTGTTCCATAGGCAGACGTCAGGTTTATGTCGCTTAACGTCTCTATTTCAACAGTAAATACTCCTTTACATAAACATAGACATTTCCAACATACAATTAGTGCAAAAGAAAATCCCCCCTTTCCCCCAAAAAACGCTAGCAGAGTGTGGGTGTGACGTTTATGAGACCAGTGCATAAATATAATGAATAGTTAACTACTTCTGCTTATTGATTGGATGATTATTTGTTGCTTTTAGGTTCATACATCAGATTACCCTGGCAACTACCCTGGCTATGATGACACCTGGGATATGCAGAAATTTCAAAAGGTACATTTGAGTTATTTTGGACCTGAGGGTGGCTGCTGGTGATTGGTAAAGTGTGGTCAAACTGAATCATCATTTCATGCTTTATGTCCAGAAAGAACTAATGAAGTTACTACTGTCGGTGTATTTTCAGTCAGACGTCGACTGCTTTGATCCAATGAGCACTCCAACCGGTGTGTGATTAAATGCAGATGTCCCCTCCCTTTGCAGAACTTCAGAATTGACATTGTGCATCTGGATGAGAGCAGTATGGAGTTTGACATGGTGGGGATAGATGCAGCCATCGCCAACGCCTTCAGAAGGATCTTACTAGCAGAGGTAGGACAAGTCTTTCTAGGTCTACATAGGACTTTTTCTAGTGACTTGTGTTTCAGTCCTGATGTGAAGAAATTGTACATTTTGTAGCAGTTTCTTAAGATAAAGGAGTCTTGGAAATTTTCATTTCATGCAAGTTGCATTATTGTTGGTTGTAGGTGCCGACCATGGCTATAGAGAAGGTATTCATCTACAACAACACGTCCATCGTTCAGGATGAAGTCCTGGCCCACAGATTGGGCCTGGTCCCCATCAAAGCCGACCCTCGTCTGTTTGAGTACAGGAGTGCTGGTAAAGCTTCACCCACACATGTAACAGGAGAGCCCAGGGCTCCCTTCTACTCTGCTGCAGTGGTTCACCTTCAAGCCATTTGAGGAGGTTTGGGGTTCAGTTCCCCTGTCCTGTTCTGAATCGATTTGTTTTTTAAAAGAAAATCATTTAGTCCTGAAGAAGTGGAGTATTGATAAAAGTAGCTCCTTGTAGTAATACAATCCTAAAGATACACTCTACCTGAAGGCCAGCGTAGTTCTCTACATGCTTGGAAAGGGAGGGGTTTGTTGTTGGTTGCAATCTGCAACTCGCCACTAGATGTCACTAAATCTCACACACTGTTCCTTTAAGAGTAACCAATACGGCTACATCAATACAAAAATCTGAATCTGACTCCAAATTTGAGGGGAATTGTTTCATGATGTGGGACACAGCGTTACTGATTCATAGTATTCCATTACATCATCATTACAGATATTAAGCAACCAGTTAAAATTCAAAGCTATTATCATTAAATAACAACCATGATCAATGAAAAAGGAAATGTATGATGCGTCAAGACAACACTATGAAATCACTTCAACAGAATGGTATCAAATTGCAGTTGAATCAGATTGTATCAAAAGTATAAATCAAACTTCATCAAATGGTTCCATCGGTGCATCGACCACATGTCGAGTCCGTACTGAATGGTCTTGAGGGGGAAGGTAACACCCCCCGGTTATGCTTTGTTTATTCCAGGTGAAGAGTCTGCCGAGGAGGAAGGTTCAGAAATAGACACAATTCAGCTGCAGCTGAAGATTAAATGCAGCAGGAACCCCAGAGCCAGCAAAGACTCCGCTGACCCCCGAGAGCTGTATCTGAACCACATGGGTAGGTTTCAGGTGACACCAAATGAATGAGCAATTGCTGGTGATGTTTGCAGATACAGACTCGCAACCAGTAGCTGACACCAGACCATACACACAAATGAGTGATTGTTGAAAATGTTCAGTTGAGGGAAGGACATTTTCCAAGGCAGTGATGACTAAGTAAGAAAGAGCATCCAACACTAATGGGATTATCTTATCCTCCCCTATCCCGTGCTGTCTCGTCTCAGTTTATTCCAAGGACATCACGTGGGTCCCGATTGGGAACCAGGCAGACGTCTTTGCAGACGCCGTCATCGGACCGGTGCATGACGACATCCTGATAGCTCAGCTACGACCGGGACAGGAGCTGGACGTCATCATGCACTGTGTCAAAGGAATTGGTAAGAGCTTCTGAGTGAGCTCAGTGTACACAATACAGACCTGGGAAAGGAACACAGGCATTTCTGTTTATACTTTTATTAAGTAAGTTTATTTTTCTGACCTATATGTGTTTCCAGATCTAAAAAGAACTTGAGTATGAGGATTCATTCTTGACCTGAGATCTCAGTGTTGGGCCGATGAAATCCTCCTTTTTTTCTGAATGTTTTACGATTGAAGCACATTTTGCCATCAGAAAGTGTCAAATCATGTGGTGGATGAATAAAATCAATTTATCATAAAATATAATGAATATCAATTCATTTGGTGCAACACAACATTGCACTATTTTTTAAATCAAAGAAAGTGATTTAATACAGTTACATTCAATTCTTTGTAGCGTCTTTCTCTGGATGACTAACAGGCCACCCCCTCCCCCGAGGTTCTCCTCAACACGTGTCTTGCGCTCTCATTGGCTGTAGCTCCCTGACAGGTCAAATGTTTAGCTTGCTAGGTGATGCATGGGTGAGCCTCTCTGCTCTGGTCTCCGAGCCAACAGCGGTTTGCATCTGATGTGGGACGGGGAACGGGGCTCTGCAAGTGATCCGTGTGTGCATGAGTGTGACACCAAAGTATAGCAGCATACTTTTTTCCTTCTTTTTTTTGCCTTCGGTGCTCTGAAAAAACACGTATGTGTTATAATGTAAAGAACCTGATTTCCTAAATTGCATCCACATTTTGACAAATTCCCCAACATTGTACTGTGAGAGCTAAATTAAGAGGCTAGGTTGTTTACGAACGTTGTGCTCTTGTTCTAGCAGTGGTGTAATGTAACTAGTACATTTCCATGTACCCATTGGTTTGGGGACTGACGTTTTAAAGGCTGGAGTTTGGCATTTTGGCTGCCACCATCTTGGTTTTCAGAACCACATATTGGTACAACCGAATCCTGAGTGAGATATTTTTAGACAACTAAAATGTTACAATGAACTTTTCATGAAGTGAAAATACACTGTGAAACGGTTAAAGTTGTAAGACGAAAACAAGGACAACTCCCAGACCGGACAACACTCTGGTAGAGACCTGTCAATCACAGTAAGCCCCGCCCTAAAGCATCCCCTGCTTTATGGTCTGTTTGACTCTAAATGGACCATAATGTACTAATTGAACATCATGCTGTATTGAAGAAGACTTGAAACTAGAGATTGAGACCATAAACTCATGTTTACTGAGGTAATAAATCAAGAGAGAAGTAGAGTCATTTTCTCATAGACTTCTATACAATCAGAGTCGCCCCCTGGTGGACATTAGAGAGAATGCAGCTTTAACACATGAAGCTTTGGCTTCACTTTTCAGAACCAGAGGTTGTCGCCTGATCCAGAAACCCTAACATTTTCTAGTCCATATTACCTGCTGCCTGGTACTGAAGTGTGTTTTCTGTTCAGGTAAGGACCATGCTAAGTTCTCTCCAGTGGCCACAGCCAGTTACCGCCTCCTCCCGGACATCACCCTGCTGGAGCCGGTGGAGGGAGAGAAGGCAGAACGCTTAAAACGCTGCTTCTCACGAGGAGTTATAGACATACAAGATGTTGATGGTAAGAGAGAACTAACCTCGCAAATCTGAGGGCATGATGACACAACTTAATACTATAAATCTGTTAGTCTCAGGACAGAACTCTGCAAGCATGCAGCACATTTCCACGTGTTGTCCTTCATCTAGGGTGAAGGCTTTTTAACAGATATAGGTATACACTACGTTAAGGAAGGACGCAGTGAAATGTAGAAAGAAATCGGATAAGCTTCCAGAATAATGCATTTCATCATTTTTATGACATAGGTTTCCACTGTATGTGCCCAAGCAAGAATGGAAAGATGTTAGGATGGCAGAGGACTTCAATTCTTGTTCAGTCTGTTGTGAGTCCCTGAAGTCTTTAAATGCAGCCATCTGACTTCTTGCGTTCCCCTTCTCAGGGAAAAAGGTTGCCAAAGTAGTGAACAGTCGCTTGGATACATGCAGCAGGGAGTTCCTCCGACATGACGACCTGAAGAATGCTGTGAAGCTTGGAAGACTTCGAGACCATTTCATCTGTAAGTTCATAGACCTTGTTCATGCGTTCAGACTCTGCAGCACCAAACAAATCCAAGTGAATGAGAACAACTCAACAAGTCAGAGGTCACCTTAACATCCTACCAACATGAGGAACTCACAAGGTCTACCCACTGAAGAAGAAACTAGTGTAAGATTCAACTATCATAGCAACATGTCCTCAAAACATTATTAGTTGTGTATGTAATGTCATCTGAAGAAAAAGAAGCAGGTCATTCTTATTTCAGGAAAGTTACAACCAATTTGCATATTGTGTAAAACAAAAACAGACGGAGCACATGAGCTAATCTGTGATAGAGTGCTCCTCCCCTGATAGTGTGTGATACTGTCAGTCAGGACCCATGGCAAACATGAACTCAGTAAATAGTTCCATTTGATAAAACTGCGCTGCTCTGGGCTCTTGTAAAACACTTTTTTTCTAAAGTGAAATGAGATGTAGGGTGAATATGAAGCTACCACCAGGAGACTGGAGCTCTGACTGAAGATAATCAACATGTTCTATTTGCTCAATCCGTAAAAAGACTAAAGTGTAGAGATGTTGAGGTTTGACATGGGGGTTATGTGCTTTCTTGGCCGGTGCAATGACATGCTGGAGTTTCTTTAGCCATGTTTCCACAAATCAGTCCAGTCCGTTCCACATTAGAACGGTTATTATCACGTTTCCATTGCCAGGAGTTGTGGATAGTACCCGGGACTTTTTAGTAGCTTACTGATTGGTCAGAGAACCGTCACTTGCTCGACACAGAACATTCTGCACAAACCTGCTGTTTCTAAATAACCATCAATGTACACATCGCAATTGTTCTTTTAAAACATATCTGTTGTGATGGAATAGCAGTTTGTATTACTGTATATCGGTTGATGGAGCTCTTCTCTCATACAGTTACCGTGGAGTCCACTGGCATCCTGCCTCCAGATGTCCTGGTCACAGAGGCCATCAAAGTCCTCATGGTCAAGTGCCAGAGGTTTCTCAATGAACTGGACTCTACTGACCTGGAATGAAGTGATGACTGAGCATGCTCAGAACCACCACAGAGGATATGACGTTGAAACATGCCATCCACGTGTCTATGAGGGCTTGTGTGGTTGATTATGTGCTCTCAGTGGCTCTGTTGAAACGTGGCTGTAGTGATAAAACCCATTCTGAATGTTCAAAAACCAGAACTTGCCATGGTGGTTTGACTTTCTTGTAAGTATGTATATACGGCTGTCTCCAGCATTTTGTAAAGCGCTCTTGATTCTCAAATAAACATGCTGAATCAAACAAACATCACCAGTAATATCTACACGCCCAGATATGCACTTGAGCTTTCTGTATGGATTTCGACCCTTGAAAACGTATTATTAGATATTAGGGGTGATTGTGGCTCAGCGATAGACCAGGTCGTCCTTCGTATCGGCGGTTCGATCCCCGTCTCCGCTAGTGCATGTTGACGTTTCCTTGGGCAAGACACTTAACCCCAAATTGGTCCCGCAGCCTGTTCCTGTTTATGGGTATGAATGTTGGTCCTGATGGGCAGGGGGCACCTGTCATCAGTATATCAATGCGTGTGAATGGTGACATGTAGTGTTAAAGCGCTTTGAGTGGTCGGAAGACTAGAAAATAACTATACAAGTGCAGTCCATTAACCATTATTATTAACGTACTAGTGGACCAACAGTATATATAGTTTTAATATAAAATCAATAAAGACGACTTTATTATGATAAATTCATAGATGTGATATTCTATGTCAGTGTGATCTCTGGTTGCCTTTTTGTTTGCTGCCAACATAACTTCAAACAGCAATGTCCTCCATCCTGTTCCATAGAATGTATTTCTATTATTTCATATCTTATTTACAGCAGCACATGTATATGAACACGCTATGTATGCACAGTATAAAATGGGCTGCTTGATTTATTGTGTTAAGGCCCATTCGGTGTATGAGCTGAGCCAACACTATATTATCAGATATACCGTGTATATATTTGCTGATAAGATGTCTGTTCTAATTAAGAGATATCGTCTCAGTTGCATTGTTTCTCAGCTGACAAATGTATTTTTGAACTGTAAAATGTCCCTCTCAGTGCATTATGGGCCATAATCAGGGTTTAGAAATATTGGGGTCATGAGTCAAGTCCCCCCACCCTTGAAAGGATTTGACCAGACACAGAATGAAGTCTGTATAATGTTGTAAATGTTTATTTTGTGCCATGAAAATGTAAAGCCTTGTAGTTTCAAAGCCTTGTGCAAACGAGATCACCATCACTGCACAGGAATGCTGCTGGGCTTTATTTAAGGTGCGATCTCTACGGTCAATGTGTGCATTCTCAAAATTAGGAGAAGTGCAAAGAGAGTCAGGGTATAAAATGAAACATTTGGATTACTGTTGTTGAAGATACACAACATCACCCATGTTTCAGTGTGGCTGGTTGACGTGTGATTCTGATAGAAAAAAACTACAAAAGAGAGAAATGTTCTGCTGCAGTACTTTATACCAACAATATCTATGTTAAAGAATTTCTCAATCACTCTGACAACACCATACACTTAAAGATAAGATAACATAACATTGAACTCAACAGGATTAAGAAGAGATTGTGCTGGTGAGATTAAGCAGCCCAAAATGTGTTTATGAAGGCTATGATGAGGGAATAAAAGCATAAATGAGACTGACCTATTATCCACAGTGATACACTTTATGGTTGGTAACGGGCATACGTCTTTAGTGAAAACACATTTTGCAACATAAACTGTCAAAGCTTAAGATGTCTTTGTGGCAAAACAAGCTATAGACCTTGTATAGATTGTGTACATTTAGATAAACAGGACACACTATGAGTGACAAGATATTGATCAGAAGCTGTAGTTCTGGTGTGGTCATTTCTTTTGAGGGTGGTGCTCCATCGCCACTTCATATGGCTGGTTTCAGGTCAGTATACACTCTAGAAAACAGTTGAATATTACATTCCATTTCTCCCAATTGAAAAATATACACTGGACCATTAGCCCCATAATAATGCATCATCATTTATTGTTGATTTATATTTTGTATTAATCTAAATCTATAAAGTAGCTAAAGCTGTCGAATAAATGTGGTGTAGTAAAAAGTACACGGTTTGCCTCCAGAGTAGAGGAGTGGAGGCAGTAGGGGGCTTATATTCCTTTCCTGGGGTGTTGGACCCTGTAAATGCTCCACATGGGACAAAGGACAGGACTCAGAAATCCATCACCTAATTCAGCACCATGGATTTATTAATACACACCTCATTTAAATAAATACACATTAATCAGTACCTAGCTGTTTCTGGGAAGCTTCTAAAACATGCCGCGGTGCATTTGGTGGAATCATGGGGATTGTGTGGAAGGGCCATAATCAGTTCCAAGGGCAAGATCCTCAGTCAGATAAAGAATCAATGCGTGATACTGGAAATACTCAAGAACGAGTACCTCAAAATTCAACTCAAGTACAGTTGTAAGCTATCAAAAAGACCATTTTTTGGTTGACAGGTTGTGAGCAATTTCTCAATTTATAATAAAGTGTTACGTACACAGGGCAGTGTGTGGCCATGGCATCAATCATTGTTCAATTTTTGTGGAAAGTGTAGTTTGCTACAATGTTAGAGTTATTTTGCTTGGGTTACCAAACAATTATCAAACTATAAGGTCAAGTGAGCGAGACAATGCAAATATTTCTGTTGCTCTAATCTTAAATTATTATTTTTTTCTTCTTTTGCTAGTTAGAGTCTCAGGTTTGTCAAATAAACTGATGTTTTTATGGAACTAACTCTAATTTATTCAATAGGATTTCCACTGAATCAAGTCCCCTGAAAGGTTTCCCTCTCTTCTTCTGTCAACACTTTTTTAACACCACTTGGCACGCTCACCAGCTTCTCTTTGAATCGTCACTTCCGTCTCCTCCTTAGCGAAGCAAGATGGCGGCCGTCGTAGAGAGAGTTGATGGATGTGTTGGGTCCTTGGACTCAGACGCGGCGTCGCCGAGACAGTCTAGCCCTCCACCGGACCAGCCGCACCAGAACAACCCGCTGTTGGGACTGCCCATTGTGGCCATTGAGACCGTTCTTAATTTCCTGTCTTACGATGAAATCAGCCTGCTGCGCTCGGTAAGAACAAAAACAAGCCGACTAGAAGGTGAACAAAGCTAACGCTAGCCACATCCACTTATCCTTGGATGCTAGTTATGTAAACTCTACGTAGAAATAAGTGTGGATAGTATTTAAAGCCAGTTTTGAATGTGCAGCCATGGCCCGCAGTGGTTAGTGCACTGTTGGCTAATCTGCAGCAAAGCCTAGCTGAGCAGACACGGAGTGCACGGCTCACCACCAACACACCAAGAGAGGAATGGTGAATTGTTAAGAGATTCGAACCGAACTCTTTAGATGCGTTTACTCCTGTTTTGGTATCCCTGCAGTTCAGACATTGCCGGCCACTTTTAGAAGTTCTTTCGTGAGGTTAGCTGGAAATCATTCACTGGTCAGTTTGCACACTAGTCTGCTTTTCACTGCAGCTCTTCTCAGCAGTCCCCTCACCTAATTATGCTAAGGTCACGTGCACAGTTAGAGCTTTGGTCAATGCGTCAGGTCCTCAAGGTCACGCAGGCTTAGTTGCGCAGTTGTGTTCCTTTAATACGTGTTATTGCTGTGCAACATTTCCAGCCTCAGTCTGTGCCTTTCTTGTAATTCTGTGTTGCATGGGCGGATCAAGAGCAAATGGGCCCCTGGGCAAAGACAGGGTACAGGCCCCATGCTCCACATTATTCATGACTGTGTCCATGTTTGTGGCTGGTAATTTGCAGGTTTACTGAAAGTTTTGTTGTTGGTTTAAATCATGGATTGTATACAGGCGAGTGGAGCCAATGCAGATGTGTCTTAAAACCTGTAATCTCTCTACTGACCAGGTCCGAGACCTCTGGTTGCAAAAAAAAGTCTGATTGTATAGAAGTCTATGAGAAAATGACTCTACTTCTCTCTTGATTTATTACCTCAGTAAACATTGTAAACATGAGTTTATGGTCTCAATCTCTAGTTTCAAGTCTTCTTCAATACAGCATGATGTTCATTTAGTAAATGATGGTCCATTTAGAGTCAAACAGACCATAAAGCAGGGGATGCTTTAGGGCGGGGCTACACAGTGATTGACAGGTCTCTACCAGAGCCGTATACAGCGTGTCTATCCTCTACTCCTCCGAATTCCAAATATGGTAAATTCCATTAACTATTTGCAACAAGGCAAAATGGTGACGGCCGTAATTACAAAGATGGCGATGGCGGAATTGCCAAACTCGAGGCATCAAAAACAGCAGTCTACAAACAAATATGTAATAAACCCGCCCCCTTCACATGAGCAGATGGAACATGGGACAAACTATCAAGTACATGTCAAATACATATTTCCAAATGATGGTTTGTCATTTTAAATAGTTGTTATCACTCTGTGTGTTCAAGTGTGAATCTTCTTTGCTTTTGAGTTGTTTTTTTAATGCTCTGCAAAGGGGGTGTGACCTCATGATTGACAGCTGAAGTAGTAGTCGTACAGGACGTCGTGTGTGTGTTTAATATCAGTGTCAGCAGACACGCACATGATGTTTAATGAATAACGAGTAATAGAACATGCGTCAGTTTGATCATACATTTATCTATAGAGATATTATGGTTGTTTCTTTCTGGCCAAACAGCCACTGTGGTGCTAACGTAGCAGCTAGGTGGCTCACACTAACAAGCTGTTGCTGTGCTTGGCTCACGATTGGCTCAGCAGGTGTGTGGGCAGGACCTCAATGCCGTGACTCCACCCCACCCCCAATCACTGCTGCGCAGACACTGGCTCTATATGATGTCAAAATCTCAAGATGGCAGCTCCTGTCTCTGGAATATTTTGGCGGGCCCAGCACTAATATCATGTTGAGTCACGACGGCTGAGACCTGGGACTCTTGCGTAGGGGCAGTCTGACCTTTTTGGATGTAGCCTGTGCCGGTGGGCCTGGGGCTTTGTTTGTTGTTTGTGATTTTTGAGTCACAGTAGTAATCTACCAATGAAAGGAAGATATGTACCTAATCCTCAACATGCCGCCTCTTTTATCCTCTGCAAGAGAAAATATGTCCTCTGGTTCAGGGGCATAAGTAGATGTAAACATTCAGGGCTCAGCCCAAATCTCGGGCGGGGGGCGCATCCTCCCCCTGGGAGATGTTTTTATACTGTATGTTCAAGACATTTGATGATTGAATGCCTAAAGATCTGCACATCATTTGGGAAAAACATGGTAGTTGCCAATGATCCTATAGCACCTACATCCGATTTTGTATTTAATGTTTCTCCAACCTCCTGCCTCCTAAAAATATGAGATATCTATGCCATATTAATCTGGGCTGCTCTAATTGCAACTCAAGGATCCCCAACAATGTCAAGTAAATGTGGCCTTCAATTCTTTCAATGGAAGAAAATGTACTCAATTATATTTGATCCAAACAAACTTGGTGAATGAATGGGTCAAGGAATGCACGCACGTCTTGTTAAATGGCGTTAACCTGTTACCACTCCAGTACAATTAGCCTAAAATGCCTATCCAAGGCATACCCAAAGTAAACTGAAAGCTGTTCTTGAACCATTTGGAGTACATGCACGGTTTTGGTCTCTCTTGAAAGGTAACACTCTGAAGTGTTGTCAGAATCACTGTAAGTGCTACTGGCATTGAGTAATAGAAGTTTGCACACACTGAAGGAGAAGGTTTTTATTTCCGCCTGAATATTTCTTTGCAAACAGATGCCTGCAGATGACTATAGCTGGACTTATTAGCTGGAAACACAATGGGACCACAGCATGAAGCCTTACCTAGTCCAGGTTCAAATCTGATAACAATACCACAGAAAATGAATATTTTACACATGTTTTTCTAAGGGTATGTCTAGGCACTTTCCAAAAAAGGACATTTGGAGATGCTTGGTAACCATGGTCACATACCTAGGCTGTGTAAAAATGTGTATTCATAATTCAATCTAAAGCTTATTTATGTCTAAATACAGTAATCTATAAGTTATTTCACCATTATTCACTTTCCTAAAATCTCCAAAACTCTCAAAAACCGCACTTAACGCACAGAGCAGGGACCTGACTCGCGATTACACAGGTAACATCCGGGTTCTGGCTCTAAATCTAACCCCTGAAGCTGTATATCGTTATTTTTGAAATTTCATTGGCTATACGAAGCGTCAGTCATCAGAACGATTGGTTGCAATTGGCTAGAGCTTTACACGAAATAAGAGGGGCAGGCACTGTCCTTCAACGCGGACTCTCGTTGGCTATTGTAAGCTGTGGACGAGACATGGAAGCGCCTAATGGGTCAAATGAGGTGTCAATCGAAAAGTCAGAGTGCACAGAGAGCATCTCTGTTTCCATCCAAACTACTGGGTAAGAACCACAGACTGTGGAAGTGGACGTAGTCATGGTGATGTCACTCATTGGTTTGTGGACTGATGTTTTGAAGCCTTGAGTTTGGAGATTTCGGCGTCAACATCTTGCACTACGGCCGTCGTCATGTTGGTAAATTGCAACCGATGAACAGAAGTTACCATATGTGGAATATGGAGGAGTGAAGTAGAGAAGCCATATACGTCTCTGGTAGCAGCAGAGACCTGTCAATCACTGTGTAGCCCCGCTCTAAAGCATCCCCTGCTTTATGGTCTGTTTGACTCTAAATGGACCATAAGTTACTAAATGAACATCATACTGTATTGAAGAAGACTTGAAACTAGAGATTGAGACCATAAACCCATGTTTACTGAGGTAATAAATCAAGAGAGAAGTAGTCATTTTATCATAGACTTCTATACAACCAGAGGAGTCGCCCCCTGCTGGTCAGTAGAGAGAATGCAGCTTTACACTTCCCACATCGGCTTCACTCGGCAGAACCGGAGGTAGCCGCCTGGTAAGAACCCTAACTAGGCAGACGTCTTCCTGCTGAAGTGGCCTTGAAAAAGATGCCAAACTCCACCAGCTCCACAGTAGATTGCTGCTGGAAGCGGAAATGCAACTTTGTGCCATAAATGTCATAAAACGGAGTACCTGTTGTTCACCTGTTTTATGTTGTCCGTCTTCTCCAGGTGTGTAAGCGTATGGACGCGATCTGCCAGCGTGTCCTGAATCAGGGCTTCCTGAAGGTGGAGCGTTACCACAGTCTGTGCCAGAGGCAAGTCAAAGCCCAGCTGCCCAGGTCAGTATCACAAGCTCACTGTGTGTTCACTGCTGTTGAGGGAAAGCCACACACTGTAGAATATAGTGGCATAGTGAAATCACACATATTGGTTAAGTCTTTGCACTATTGTTTAGGTAGTTAATGTAGTAGTATTTTATTGTATATATTGTGCATTTTTATATTTAGATTTTCTACTCTGTTATTTTTGCTTTACTTGTATCTCTAAATGCTGCTGTAGTGAAAAAAGTTCCCCTTGTGGGATTAATAAAGTGTATATATATGTCTCTGAAGGGACATTTTGAAAACTGGATCTTCCCAGGGTCATTGTCATTTTATAAAATAAGTAGACAAAATGACCATTATTACATTTCAAAAGTGACTAAATGTGTGTCTCGCATATATTTGTCATTAGTCATGCTGACGACAGTTAAGGTTAAATTCTGTGCTACGACTTGTCTTCACTGGCCCTGTAGTGAAAGCAGCTCGTCAGCAGCAGCTCCAGTCCTCTCCACTCTGGATGTGTTCTGTACATAGACTATCAGAGCTTACAGCAGAAGAAAATGGACTTGAAGCCTGAAAGAATGCTTTGGGTTGCAGATATTAGGAATGTAGAGGAACAGCTGATGAAGCCAGTGGTACACAGCTGTGCTGCTTAAAACTGAATACTGGACCTGTTCCTTCATTCTTTTACTTTTTGGGGTCCAATACTCAAAAAACGGTTGAGAACCACTGGTTTAGGACATATTTATCCGAGTGATCTCAGCTCCAACCTGGGAGTTACTTGAGTCAAAGCTCTACAGAAACCTTAATGAATATTTTAATCCAGCATGAATAAATTACACAAAAATGGGATTTTCAGTTGTCCCGTTTTCAACCTAGACCTTGTTTTCATGTTTTTGTGTGGAAGTGACTGATGGTGACAACAGTTTTTGAAATTGGTCCAGTATTGAAGGACAACGCTGTGGACTGCAGCCGCTAAACGTGCTGTGATGTAATCATATCGGGGCAACTCCTCACCGTCGATGTACTATGTCCACTAAATGAGCGTTGTGTGTCTGCCACTGACAGACTCACATTGTTATTCCAAGTGTCTGACAACATTATGGAAATAATCTACAGAGAAATAAAACACTTTTCTTACCTCTCTGTTTGGTATATATTTATAATTGTGACACAAGTTTTTATAGTCAGACATGTATTGGCAATACATACAAGGCATCTCACGTTTTGGTCACATAGATTGTAAATACAACCATGGGAACTCATTTAATTGTGACATGCTGTGTGATTCATTAAAGAGAGAAATACAATTCTTAAACTTGTTTTTCCCACCTAATTAAACCAGATTGGAAGTATGGTTTGTGACTTTCTTTTTATTGATCTAGAAAGAAGATTCAGTTTCTCAAACTAAAGCTATCAGTGAAGTCATTGATGGGGAGAGACATTTAAAAAAAAGTTCTCTGTTGAAAACTAGGGCCCAGGTCTTGACCAATGTGTTCGTCATGAATTGTCTGCAGGCGAGAGTCTGAGAGGAGAAACCATTCACTGGCCCGTCACGCTGACATCCTGGCTGCCGTGGAGACGCGCCTCTCTCTGCTCAACATGACCTTCATGAAATACGTTGACTCCAACCTCTGTTGCTTCATCCCTGGAAAGGTTAGCTCAGCTTCCTCTGTGCAGCGGCAGCAACGGTAGTCTTACGGACAGAGAGCGAGTGGCAACGCTTCTTTAAAAAGCTTCTTTACAGTACAGCTCGCATTAATCACATGCTGTCATGATGCCGGGATGTGATGTCCTGGTTCCACTCATAGATTACACTCAGTGGATGTTTGATATATCATTGACATTTCCTCAACAGCAAAAATAATGTTTTAGTTCAAACTCAACATCAACATTTCCTTCATGTTCACCATGCTTCTTTCATAACTGGCGAGTAAATTTGCTCTAGAGTTGTTAAAAACAGAAATTTTAATCATAGAATACAGGACAGGAGGTTGGTAAAGGTGATTAAAACCGCACACAACATCATTGGTACCCATCTACTGAGCATCTTGGCATCTCAGGATATTGGTGACAAGAGGTGCCTGCCAAGAGCTCAAAGGGATATTAAATGACAAAACCCAACCAGCCACTAGTGGTGTAACGGACCACTGTCGATCCGTGGACCATATGGATCCTCCTCACGATTCAGCACACATGTGAAATGTGGATTAATTAAAGATTAAATTAAATTAGTGTGAAATAAAGTTTTACTGACTATCGTTATCCGCCAATATTTAGTCAAATATGTGATCAGCATTTATGCTTTTCTAGTCAAAGGTCCAGTGTGTAGCATTTAGATGGCTCTATCCGTAGAAATAGAATATATTAGTGTTTTCTTTAGTGTATAGTTACTGCCATGACATTTTATGCTAAACTTTTAGATCCTGGCTGTTATATTCCATATGTTTTAAACTAGGCGTACGATATCAGCCATCACATACTAGACCTTTTTAAGTTTAACATTCCCCAGGGCGGACAGCCTGCCAGCCTGCCGAGGCTACTACCTGTTTGTTTTTAGCTTTTACTTTGGAGCTAGCTAACGCTACGGGGAACACAGATACCGGGTGTCTACTATCAGTAAATGGAAAACTGGACCCTCTGTGAATCAGCTCTCACCTTTGCTTAAACCTAAACAACGCTGTGGGCTCCGGGTTGGACCCCCTGCGTCCCCCACATCTACTATTGCTCAACTCGCCTCCTCATCTAACTGTGTCAGCTGCGCCTGCCTGGCCGATAAAATCACAGAGCTGGAAGGAAGAATATCCACACTCTACAAGATCCAGCATGCCGAGAAGCTCATGGACACCATCATCTTCAGTCCAGCACAAGCCGACACAACCAGCAACCGTGTACATGATTCCAGTGCTGCTGCCGCCACCCCTCCTCCGGTCACAATCCCTGAAGATTCCTGCCTATGACTCGGAGCTAAGCCTAAAGCCCTGGTCAGCTCCACTCCATCCCATCATGAGCCCTGGTCCATGCTTGCTGGAGAGGGAGAGATCCCTCTCCTATCCCTCATCACGTCAACGTCAAGCTGGAGAATAAATACGACATCTTTGCCTTTTCACGACTTCCCTTCTCTGGCTAGAGACTCCCAGCCTCCTCCACCATCCCACCTGCCGCCTCGCGAGACCCACAGCTCCGGGTCACCCGAGATCCCTACGCCAGTCATTCCCGAGCCCTCCTCTCGCACCAGGACTCTGCGCTCTATACCGCTCTTTACAGCAGCACCGTGGCATGCTCCTGTCCCCCGTTTTGTCCTTCCCAGTACATTCCGCCGCCACTGGTTAAATCTTCGCCTCCTCCATCTTATCTCCTCGTCCCCTCTTCTCCCCAACCACACTGATGGTTGGGGATTCCATAATCAGGAATATCCGTTTCTTCAACGCAGCCACACACTGTTTCCCCGGATCGACAGCTCAAGACATCCTGTTAAAACTGCCATGCCTGCTGCACGCACTCCCGACCATCATTCGGAGAATCATCATTTATGTGGCAATCAGCGATACAGCCTTCCAACAGTCTGAGATGACCAACATTGATTTTAAAATCTTTTACACTCTTTCAATAGTCGTGGACTTTCTGCTTTTATCAGTGGTCCAACTCCAACACTCGGCCGTGGATCACAGTGGTTCAGCAGAGTCCTCAGCCTCCACACTTGGCTCCAGTCCGCCTGCAGGACCCACACCATAGGCTTCATTGACAATTTCAATCTGTTTTTGGACTGCTCTTCCTCTTTTAAGAACGATGGTATTCATCTCAATAAGCTGGGTAGTCACCTGCTCGCGGCTAATTTGCAGCACGTTGTACATGCTTGTCCACGCGACTGACTATTTAATCTCCACCCCCTTCCATGCTGCCATCTCAGACCAGTTTCCCGTGACTCCTCCCCCTACTGGCCCCACCTGTCATTAACCCCTTCAGCCGCAGCTCTCCCCATTCAGACTATTGTGACAGAGGCTGCTCCGTCCACCGCATTCACAAAGCCATAAACAAAAACAACCTCTCTTACATCCTTCACCGTTATGTTCATATCGGCTTCCAGCGCAAGTTCATCATCTACAACCCTGCTTATGTCAACCCCATCCCGTCTTTGTGGACTCAACACCAGCGCACACCCACTCCCTTATTACATCATCATAACGAACAGCACGTGAATCTAGCCAACCCCCTACCCAAATCCTCACAACCAATCACAAAACACTCCATGAAACTTGCTCTGTTGAACACCCGGTCACTAAGCAACAAAAGCCCAATCATCATTGAATTCATTACTGACAACAACCTTGATATCCTCTGTCTCACTGAAACTTGGCAAAAGCACCTGGACTACTACGCACTCAACCAAACCACCCCTACTGGATATCATTACCTGGACAAACCACGCCCTGATGGCCGCAGTGGAGGAATTCCCGCTCTTTACCGCCAACACATCAAAACCAGCCTGACTACCATCCAAACTCAATCCTCATTTGAACACCTCATATTCAAACTCTGTAGTCCTAAAACCCTGGTCATTTAAATGATCTACCGCCCTTCCAAACCCAACCCTGCCTTCCTCTCCGACCTAATTGAATTCCTTACCCAGCTCTGCTCCATCTCCCCTTCCATCCTGTTGCTCGGCGATTTCAACATCCATATCGACTCCACAGACTGTAAAACAGCCACAGAATTTCTGGACATGCTTAGATGTTTCAACCTTACTCAACACATCAATTTCCCCAATCATAAGCGCGGTCACATCCTGGACCTGGTTCCACTGGAATCACAATCGGCCACCTCTCCCGCTCTGACCTCACCATCTTCGACCACCTAGCCATCATCATGGAGATCGACGTCCCCATCCCAGAACCTAAAGCCACACACATCACTCTCCGTAATATCAAGTCCATTTGCCCCTCATCCCTGTCAGCCTGTCCCTCCTGCCCTCAAACTAGCCTTAGTCACACCCATCCTCAAAAAGCTTGGCCTTGACCCTGACATCCACAACTACAGACCCATCTCCAATCTCCCTTTTCTATCTAAAATACTGAAACGCACTGTTGCCCACCAACTCAAAACCCACCTTGACTAGAACCAACTGTATGAACCATTTCAATCTGGATTCAGATCTCATCACAGCACAGAAACTGCCCTAATCAAAGTCACCAACGACCTCCTCCTCTCCTCTGATGACCACTCCCTCAACATCCTAATACCATTCGACCTGCCTTTGACACGTCAACCACTCCATCCTCATTTCTCTCTCGTCTCTAATCTTCTCTCCACACTACTGGCACAGCCCTCTCCTGGTTCAAATCATACCTCTCTGACCATGAACAGCTCATTAGTATCAATAAATTCAAGTCTGACACAGTCTCTCAAGGTGTCCCCCAAGGTTCAGTACTTGATCCCCTCCTCTTCATCCTCTGATGTTTCCAAGGGTGAGCAAGTAGACACCACCATGGTTTCCATTTCCACTGCTATGCTGACGACACCCAGCTCTACATCTCCACCAAATCCATCACCTCCACCATCCACTTCACCAACTGCTTCAAAGACATAAAGACTTGGATACAAGCCAACTTTCTCAAACTCTATAGTGACAAATCTGAAATCCTCATCATTGGCCCCAAATCACTAAACAAATCCCACCACAACTTCTCCTTCTGCATTGATGGAACCACTGTTCCTGCTTCCACACATATCCGTAACCTTGGTTTTATTTTTGATCAAACCCTCTTTCGAAAGCCATGTCAATCGCATCACAAAAACCGCCTTCTTTCATCTCAAAAACATCGCCCGTCTACGTCTACTTCACGCTTAGCACACAGGAAGGTTTCAGTTGTTTGCAATCTGCAACCTCGCCACTAGATGTTGCCAAATCCTACATACTGGACCTTTTTATAGAAGACAAATAAGACTCCAGCATTCTCAGACCTGGCCAGCAGAGAGCCCACAGAGACAGTCAGGGGTGTAAAAAAAGCCATCCGTGTTTTCAGTCATATCTGTTGTGTGTTGTGTTTTCTGTTTTCCTTTCTTATTTGCTATGTAACGTGCCATTATGTTTTGTCAGGTGATAGATGAGATTTACCGCGTGCTGCGCTACGTGAACTCCACTCGAGCCCCCCAGCGAGCTCACGAGGTCCTGCAGGAGTTGAGAGATATCTCCTCCATGGCCATGGAGTACTTTGATGAGAAGATTGTCCCCATCCTAAAGAAGAAGCTGCCGGGGGCCGACCTGTCCGGCCGCCTCATTGGCTCTACGCCAGGTAACAGACATGTGTTTCTCCTGACTTGGGATTTCAAAAGAAAAATCCCCGTAATGCAGCTCTCAATACTGCTGCTCTCAATATGACATCAACAAAATGAGATGAAAAATGTCAGCTCTTGTGGTTTTGATCATGACCATAGACTACAGTCTCTGAAATCTGACTTCCACAGAGAGGAACATATAACTGAATAGAATGATTCCTGACTGTGAAACCAGCTACATCATCACTGGAAAAGATCTGTAGAGAAGAGTGGCACCCTGATCAAATATCAGCATTGTATATGGATTGGTTTTTAGAAGCAGTTTCACATTCTTGATATGGTCTGGGTCCCGTGTTTGCTAAGAGCAAACATCAGTGCTTACTTAGAATATTCGCCAAAATAAAAGCTCTTGTCCGGAGGCATTCTTACTTTTGCCTAGCAGGATCTCAGCTTTTTGAGTTGTTTTTTTGTGTAGCTGTAAACTCCTGAAGACCTCTGAACCTCTGTCCTGTTCCCTCAGTGGCAGGTCCATCTACCTCCCTAACCACAATGTCCCTGCTGGCCAAGAACACGCCGTCGCGGTCTGAGATGACCAAGGTGCAGCAGCAGGTGAAGGTGAACGGGGCGTCAATGACAGTGCTGCGGAGGGAGATGCAGGAAATCCGGGTCAAGCAGCTGGAGCAGCAGAAGCAGCTGCAGGACCAGGAGCAGAAGCTGCTGGAACAGACCCAGGTGATCGGTGAGCAGAACGCCCGCCTCGCTGAGCTAGAGCACAAGCTCCGCGAGCTGATGGACAGTAGTGCCGCTGCTATGGGAGGATCCAGGCCTGGCGCAGCCGCCCCCTCCACGTCCAGCAGCGCTGCTGTGTCTTCCACTGTGGCAAGTGGAAGTGGCAGTGTGGTCACAGCCTCTCTATCCAGAGAGCCGGAGGGTGAGGGGGGGTCATCGCTCAAACGCACCAGAAAGAGTTCAGATCTTCCACGACAGTCCAAACGGCTGCGCAGCAAGAAATAAGACTCAGTGTGTCATTTAGTTAAAGCTTTCTTTTTGGTTTCGAGGTCCGACTGATCACATCTTCTCCCCCAAGTCCTGCCCAGCCCACCAACACTCATCACCTGTACTGTCTGTGAGATGAGTCAGGAGTACTCCTCCCCCAACCCTCACTAAATCACAATATAGTCAGGTGGCCACCCTGTTCGAGACTATTTATTGAAGGTTATATTAAAATGACTGTATTGTTTTTTTTAATGTAGACGCTTCTCTGCTTCCACAATCATTGGTTTGTCTCAACAGAAATTCAGATGGTTGGTAGATTTGGTTAACAGAAGTCAAGTTGTACGTGTTATTAATGTAGATCCTGTCTCTAGAAAAATTAATCTGCCAAGATATTTTATTTCAGAAATGTACACGATTTAAAAGAATATCACAGTAGAACTCCAGAGGCATGAAAGTGCTCAGGTCACCTAGATCATGAACCGAACTGAAGTTGCATGTTGTGGTAATCAGTGATCTCCTTTCCATTTCCACATGGGTAGGAAGTCTAAATCCATTCACATTCATTTAATTCACACTCGCTTCTTCTTACTCTGGCTAAGTGCAATAAAAGTCATCTGAAAAGTAAGACATAAGTCATATTCTTTGCCAGTAGCACAGATTGTGATTCACAAAGGAGGGATGGGGTCTTAAAGAGGGGAGAGAAGTGTTCAGGTGGCACCAGCTCTGTGGTGTTGATGTGTTGTGCTACTGTATGTGCTGTGAAACTAAACTGCTCTCTAATGCTCTTTTCGGATCATACCAGTGTTCTTACATATTTCAGCCTATTTAACACAAATAATGCACAGCTCGGTTCAGCTGAACGGTTGATTAAGTACAATGAGTGTTTCAGTACTTGAATGAGTTGTTTCTCATTTCTAGATCGCCATTTATTTCCATTCTTTTCACTGCAGAAGCATGTGCTCCATGACATGCCTTAGTTTTCAAACTGATAAACGGAAAACAAGGTTCTGTTCCTGGAAACGTTACAATGTCTCCTCTCTGCCGATCAGGGGTGATCAACATTAGACTCACGGTCCTCTTACTAGCTTTCTCCAGAGCTTGCAGCCACTTCCCTCAGTCCCAACTACCCTAAATACTAGTTTATAGTTCAGATTGCTTTGTTGTAAATTGTAAATAGTTTGACAAAATTATTTTTCCCCAAAGTCCCTTGCAAGCTTCTTTTTGACACTTTCAAACATAACCCACTCTCTTTCTACAGTATGTGTTGGACATGAGCTTGAGATGCTGTTGAAAGCTCTGGAAAGGGAAACTAGTATGTGGACCTTTTCATGTTTTTCCCATCAAACCTCTATTTCTCAAGATCTACTTCCGGGCTTTTATTCTGACTTCAGGCGCATCTCACAGCCTTCAGTGGAGTTTATTTCCAAGGTTTGTAGAGTGATTACCAGCAGACGGTTCAGTCTGAAGTAACTCCACATCTTCTCTATATCATGTGACCGTATCGGTCGCGCAGCTCGGGATCGCATCGGTCACGTCGTGTCCGGTCTACCGTTGAATGACAATTGTTTATCACAAATGAAAATCCACAACATGACTCATTTCAGATGTTTACAGTACGTACACTAAATCCGCATAGTATGCAGTGGGAATGCACTGCATACTTTAAATGTAAGGTCATACCTGATTTGAATAGTACGTCATGTGACCTGCTGGACTCGGACACTCGGTGACTGTTGCCCAGGCTAATTATTTGTAGTAAATAGGTGGAAAACACTTGTATGGTCCTTGTATTCACTGTATGTACTGGCATTTAAAGGCTCTGTTCCTCTCACTTCCTCTTTAGTGCCATTCAGATTGTTTCTGGTTTATGTTTGGACATGTCTGTCTCCGAGGCGTCTGTCTCCGAGGCGTCTGTCTCTGAGGCGTCTGCCTCCGACCCCAGAACAAGGGACCTACATGGGGTTGAGCCCAACTGCATGGATAGAAGTCACCAGAGGGAAGTGAAAAAAATCTATTTTTGACCCTTGAGAAGTTGCCTTTTTGTCTTTAAATGCTGTTACGACTTTAAAGTTGAAGTGTAAAATCAGCGCGTTGCCATGAGAGTAAGGAAGCCACTAGAACGTGTGACTGGTGTGCAGTGACCGTAGAGGGGTTGGGCATGTTCCACATGTGAGCAACTGGATGGGTCAGGGTGAGTTCCCCCAGCGGTCGCTACTCTTCCTCTCCTGTACACACCCGGCTCTTGCCTGCAGGCTATAGCTTAGCTCTGAGCCCATATTGTGGCTGTACTTTAGTTTTCTTACTTTGAAGCTCTTCAGTTGTTCGGATGACTTACTCATGGCATGAACTTTTGTTAAAGAAACTTTGGAGATTGCAGTTCACGTCTTGGAGAACACTGGCGCATATTCTGATCACACTGGGCCAAACAAATAAACAAGATGATGTAAACTAGTGGCTTCATTTGAGACTGTATCTCAGTTTAGAGAACTACTGTAATCTTCCTGTACTTTCAAGTATAGATTGTGAATTATTCTGTATGTATACCAAGAAAACTATCTTTTGAGTTGGCCAGCTTGGGGCTAACTGTCTGGTTTTGTGGCACTCATTGCTGTTCAAAATGTACAAATGAAACCTATTAAAAACTCAACGTATCACATATCTCTGTTTACGCACATAAGCTCTGCTTTTACAGGTGACTCCTCTGGTTCATTTCTATCCGTGGGTTTAGCTTTAGGAGATATGCAGGTTTTAAGTCGGTGGGCTTGTGAGATGCACTTTAACACAGGACTACAGCGCACAGCCATGCTAACAGACTGAGGTTGGAGATGCTTTGTGCTAATGTCATGCAGGTATAATTACCATGGTCCCCATCTTAGTCTGCCAACATTGGCAGTAAACGGTGGGACAGAAGACATTCTATTCGTTTTGCTGGTATTTGGCCATAAACCACAACTTTTGACCTGATGGTGGCACTGTATGAAAAGTCCATGTTACATTTCATCCTGTCCCAATACATTCAATAGTTAAAATAGACCAGAGTGGTGGACTGACATATACTAGCAGTGTATGGGGCCCAAATCCAGAGGGTGAGATATCCTGACCTTTCCCTAATAAGGCTGAAGCCCCAAGACACGCGATCATACATTTCCCGTAGCGCAATCCTTCAGGATCTTTTTAATGTGTCATGTGAGAGTAACTATCCTTCCATGGTCTGTATCCACTCATTGTTTAAATCAGGGGTCTCCAGCCTTTTTTCCTCTGACAGCTAATTAGAATAAATGAGCGTGTCCGAGAGCTGCTCATTGCACCAAGTTGTATACAATGTCCTTTCATAACGTTTCATCATATCGCCTCTCGCAATCGGCCTTTTCGTGTTTCGTTTTGGATGTGCGCCACCAAACGAAGCCTCTGCTGCGGAGTCAACAGGGAAGCTGCTGAAGCTCAGCTGCACGTGTTTAGACTATGGGAGGAAGCTAGAGACAGCCCACGCTGACACAGGGATAACATGCTAACTCCCCACAGAAGGGCCCACGCTGACACGGGGACAACATGCTAACTCCACACAGAAGGGCCCACGCTGACATGGGGACAACATGCTAACTCCACACAGAAGGGCCCACGCTGACACGGGGACAACGCGCTAACTCCACACAGAAGGGCCCACGCGGACAACGCGCTAACGCCACACAGAAGGGCCCACGCCGACACGGGGACAACGCGCTAACTCCACACAGAAGGGCCCACGCCGACACGGGGACAACGCGCTAACTCCACACAGAAGGGCCGAGCCGGCTGGCGAGTTCCAACCCAGAATCCTCTGAGGCCAAAGTACTGACCACCATTTTCCAACTTTCACAACAATATCCAAGTTGTATTTATGACTGGAAAACATTGCTCAAGAAAAGGAAACTCATTCCACTGACATAGTGCTATACTGTTAGTGTACAGTATGTTTAACCCTCACTCTGCAATCACACAGACGTCTTCAGTTTTCTGGTGACGTCAACACGCACACGGTTCAGTTTCCCATCTCTACCATCCATCACATATGACCTGAGTTTGACCTTCACTGGTCTTTACTGCCAGGTAAACACCTATTCCATCAACTCAGTTTGTAACGCAGGCTTTCTTTAAAACGGTTAAGTCTCAGACCTAATTTATTGAAATCTACAGGATTATTTTGTCAGACGTGCCAAAGCTCCATCAGAGCCACGGAAGACATTATACAACTGTTTTCACAGGCAAGGCAAGTTTATTTGTATAGCACATTTCAACAACAAGGTAATTCAAAGTGCTTCACATAAAACCATTAAAAGCATCAAAACATAAGGCAAAAGAAAATGAGATTTAAAAACAATTAAGAACATTCATTGAAACAATAAAAACAGTCATTAAAACATTAAAAAACAGTGTAAGAAATAAAATACAGTAGTAAAATGGAGAAATGCAGAAATTGATTAATATAATAGAATCTGGTTCAATTAAAGGCAGCAGCAAACAGAAAAGTCTTCAATCTTGATTTAAAGGAGCTGAGGGTCTCAGCAGACCTGCAGCTTTCTGGACTTTGTTCCAGATATGTGGAGCAGAAAAACTGAATGGAGAAGAGATTTGGTGATAATTCTCAGAGAATGTATCATTCACATTAAACAGTCATTTTACATGTCAATATAAAGATAATGATTAGTGCACGGGCAGGTGGTTCACTGCCTTCTGGGTTCTGGGTTGGAACCCTTCTGGCATGTTGTCCCTGTCTCAGCGTCGACTTGTCTTCCTGCCACAGTCCAAACACATGCAGGTGAGCTTCAGTAGATCCCCTTAGGAGTAACTAGTTGTCTAGGGCAGGGGTTCTTAACCTTTTTGACCTCGGGCCCCAACTTTTCAAGTACAAAGTGTCCCGGGGCCCATTCATATATTAACACTATTAGTTTAACTAATTGATCTCACTCTTGGTTTGATTTGTATTCAATAACTATATTGTTACCTGTTCAACTCCACCCCTATTTTGGAGCAAAACCGCCTAAAATGACGTACCCAAATTAAAATGGCTGTAGCTTCTGAACCACTCTGACTATATGCATCAAAAGTGTCAGAAAACCTGTAGGTCATACAGAAACAGAGCAGTGGGCCTTTGGAGTCAGTACAAATTGAAGATTTTTGTCCGCATAAAATAAAAAAGTATCTTTCAGTATAAATAACTGCCTGTGGCTGTATCTGTACAGGTAAATGACAGTATAGGGCTGTAACTACACTATCGGTGAACAACTGCCTCAAATTTGAAGAAGATTGGACAAAGTATGACCATTCTACAGTGTTTCTTCCATGAAGAGATCCAGGCGGAGCTCTAAAAGGACATTTGGAGACCCAAATGGACACATGGTAACCAAATGATATTCTGACACACTAAAGGTGTTTCTCCCTTTATATGTTGATATTATAGTATTTTCCTTTTATTTTTAGCCTTTGCAAATCCTATGTATATATGGTCGAAGACGTGGTGTGTGAAAAGCAGACTTGCTGTGCGTAATGGCTGAGTCCGAACGCACGAACGCACGATCGAGTATGCGGGTAGCTCAATTACACAAGGTTATACGTTGGTTGACGGCTTATAGAAGAGGACGATAAGGGTTGCACTATAAGTACTAGCGTTTTCTGAAGCCACTACCTCCATGGTAACATCCGCTAGCACATTGTCGGGTCTGTAATGTGTCTTTTTCCGTCGAAATGCTGCAAGATCCGACTTGCAGGGGTTATGGCGACTTTGGACAGTGTGTGTTTGGGCTCCTTTTGTGAAAAATCCATAAGAAATGAAAGAAAATCGATGATTTCTTTGCAAAGATGAGGATTTTGGGCATGCTGGGATACCAAACACGGCCATGTTTTGTGACGTAGTTTGCGCAACAAGCTGTAGGAATGGCAGGGGAGGGGATCGAGGACGCCGACGTCCTCGCGGAGTTGAACAGGCAAAACCCTTGTCAAATAAATGAAATGATACAATGTGATGATCACAAAGACATTTATTTATCATGTGTATGTAAACCTGCATACACAACAAGAAGCCCAACAGGCTTTCCCACGAGCGTTGGATGTTTCGTCGCTAGGTGTCGCTTTATTTTTGAAGGCTTCAGTGCTTCGTTTGATAGCATTAGCCCACATTCCACACACTGAGCCCTCGGCTCTGCCTCGTTGCCTCCGTTCACAAAGCCGTACTTAAGAAAGTCAGGATTGTACTTGCGCACACATTTAGACTTTTGGGGGGGTATGGCACCACTGTGGTCTTCATTTTTTCTTTTTAAAAACGTATCCATAACTTTCGCTACAGGCTCGTGGCTAGCTGAGTGTCTTCTTCTGCTTATTGGAGCTTGTTAAACAACTGACTGACGCATTACCGCCACCAGGTGTTGGGAAGCTATATTGTAACTGAGCGTCTCATGGATAACTGTAATATCTCTGGTGTCTTCAATTGATAACTTATGCGGCCCTCGCAGCCCACAGGTGCAAAACTGAAAGTTTTTTTGCGGCCCTCTAGGTGGCGCTCGCGGACCAATCGTGGGCCGCGGCCCCATGGTTAAGAATCACTGGTCTAGGGTGTACGTTGGATGCATGTAGACGTCTGAGACCTCGTCTCAATTGTCATGACATCATTTTCTCGTTCCCACATCTTGCTGTGGAGCAAAACGCAGCAAGTTTTTATGTTGCAGCTGCAGCAGCCCTGCACATAAGCTGTTACATATATTTTACATATTTGACTATTTTACAGTTACATATATTCATACAAACGAATGTAAAATGTATTAATTTCGTCTAAATGTCCCTGATATCACGGTCAGTGCTTTCAGACGGTATCCATAAAACATTTTATCTGTAATTATGTTTCCCAACAAAAGATAATTGGCAATACAAATTTAAAGTATTTAAAGTATCTAAAAGTAATTTCCATGAGACAGGATTGTAAAAAAACAAACATGTATATGACATAAAACAATGAAGTAACACATTTACAGTGTATCATATTACATTTCACTAGAGTGAAAACAGCGTCATAACATTCGTTTAGTTTAGCTTTTCAATTTATATTCATTCATATTCTATCAAAGAGTCCTTTTGTAGACCGTTGGCATGTTTACACCACGAACAAACCACATTCAGCATGTAGGCTACTCCCAGATACTCTTCAAGACTGATCTTTAATATTAAATGTTCACATTGGCACTTTAAAGCACCAAACAGGCCCTGAAATAAAGAACACACATACACACACACACACACACACGCTAAACTGTCAGAAACACACTGTCATACACACACACTACACTGATACATGATACACTCTCATACACACTGACACACTACACTGTCACACACACACACACTGACACACAGTACACTGACACACACAATACACTGTCACACACACACACTGACACACAGTACACTGTCATATACACACTGACACACCAAAACCAAAACCTTGTTGTGCACATTTATTAGTGACAGAAATGTGGCCCAATGAAGTTAAAGAAGTAAGACATAGCAGGTTCTATTAGTGAGGAGGTTTTAGGAACAGTGTCCACAGATCAGCCATCAACATTACAGCTGCAGGTTGTATTCTCGTCACTAGATGGCACCGGACTACGCACCCTGATAACGTCATGTTTGTAAAAGCCCTAAAACAGCTTTCAAAACCTAATGAAAATAATTAGTTGTTGAATAAACCAGGTGTGTCATAGTGTCTGCAGGCATTCCTCGGATTTCATGTGTTTTTATGAACCATCTTAAATCCTTCTTTGTTCTGTGTAAATGCAGGCTGAACACTATACTGTCCTCTTTGTTTCCTTTATTACATCTCGGGCTTCCATTGGTACCCCTGTGTTGAACGCTATCAATTGTGGTTTTGCAGAAATGAAAACATACTGAAAGTGTGCATAAAAGCGCTCAAAATGTCTGCTGAGCCCTCAAACACTCGACGATGTGACAGTGGGACAGCCCTAAACCCGCACGGACTCAAAGTCTGTGCGTGTGTACATTTGGATTGGGCCAGAATAAAAGGATCTTGCGATGGGTGCGGAGGCGAGCCTGTAATCCAAGTTACCAAAATACTGAGGCTGGCAGATCGTTTGAGCTGCAGTGCACTACGCAGAGATGGGCAGTATTTCTAATACTTGTATTTGAAATACGTATTTCAATTACTTTTGAGTATTTTGTAATTTGTATTTGATAGAGCCAATAAAAAATCTAACGTAATTTGTAGCAAAATACTTTAGAGTGGAGTAATTTTGTATTTAAAATACTCAAAATACTTTCTCCACGAATCAAAAAACAGTTCACGAGTTCAGTCTTCAGATCTTCAAGTTCAAAGTTCAAAGTTTGCTTTATTGTCAATTCCACAATGTACTGGACATACAGGGGAGTTGAAAAGATGTTTCTCTCTAGTCCAACATATAAACATATAAAGTGAATGCAGTGCAATAGATTAAAAAAACATTTAGACAATATATATATATATATAATAAGAGAAAATGAAACAAAAAAACTATCAATCTGTATTCAGCAGCAGTTGGACATGGGGAGTCTCAAAAGAGAGGAGGGAGAGAGTTCAGCTTCCTAACAGCCTGGTGGACGAAGCTGTTTGAGAGTCTGGTGGTGCGAGCACGGAGGCTCTGGTATCTTCTCCCAGAGGGCAGGAGGCTGAAGAGACTGTGTGAGGGGTGGCTGGAGTCGCGCACAGTCATGGTCACTTTACGGGTGAGGCGAGTGTCGTATATGTCCTGCAGGGAGGGGAGTGAGGGGAGTGAGGGGAGTGAGGCACCAATGATCCTTCTAGCTGTGTTCACTATGCGCTGCAGGGCTTTCCTGTTGTAGTCAGTGCAGCTTCTGCCCCACACAGAGATACAGTTTGTCAGGATGCTCTCAATGGTGCCTCGGTAAAAGGTGCACATGATGGGTGGTGGTGTTCTTGCCTTCTTCAGATTGCGGAGAAAGTAGAGGCGGCTCTGAGCTTTCTTTGCCAGTGATGTTGTATTGGCTGTCCACGAGAGGTCCTCACTGATGTCCACCCCCAGGAATTTGGTGCTGCTCACTCTCTCTATATCAGCACCATTGATGGTCAGTGGTGGGTGTCGAGTGTGGCCTCTCCGGAAGTCAACAATAATCTCCTTGGTCTTGCTGTTCAGAAGGAGGTTGTTGTCTCTGCACCACGTGGTGTCTCTGCACCACGTGGTCAGAAGGCTGACCTCCTTCCTATAGTGGGTGTCATCGTCGTTGGTGATGAGACCTATCAGAGTTGTGTCGTCTGCAAACTTGACCATGTGATTGGTGCTGTAGGTTGTGGTGCAGTCGTGTGTCAGCAAGGTGAAGAGCAGTGGACTGAGCACACAGCCTTGAGGGGCCCCTGTGCGCAGTGTGATGCTGCTCGAGGTGTTGTTGCCGACACGTACTGCTTGTGGCCTCTCACTGAGGAAGTCCAGCAGCCAGTTACACAGCGAGGTGTTGAGCCCCAGCTGGTCAAGTTTGAAGATGAGTTTTTGTGGGATTATGGTGTTGAATGCTGAACTAAAGTCTATGAACAGCATTCTCACATATGAGTCTTTTGAGTCCAGATTGATGAGGGCTGGGTGGAGAGCAGAGCAGATTGCATCCTCCGTGGACCGCTTGGCACGGTATGCAAACTGGAAAGGGTCCAGGGTGGGGGGAAGAATGGATTTGATATGTGACATGACTAGCCGTTCAAAGCACTTCATGATTATGGGGGTCAGTGCCACCGGACGGTAGTCATTAAAGCAGGACGGAGTGGATTTCTTTGGCACAGGTATGATGATGGTGGCCTTGAAGCATGATGGAACAACAGCTTGTCTCAGAGAAGTATTAAAGACATCCGTGAAGACATCCTTAAGCTCCTCTGCACAGTCCTTCAACACACGACCAGGGATGTTGTCTGGACCTGTTGCCTTGCGAGTGTTGATAGTGGAGAGTGTCCTCTTCACGCTGGCAGCAGACAGGCGCAGAGCCTGATCGTGGGGAGGGGGCGGAGTCTTGTGTGGACGTGTGCTGTTTTGCGTTTCAAACCGTGCAAAGAAGCTGTTGAGGTTGTTTAGCAGAGAGATGTTGCTGTCGCAGGTCTGTGGCACGGGTTTGTAGTCCGTAAGGGTCTGAATGCCCTGCCACAGGCTCCGTGTGTCTCTGCTGTCTTTAAAGTGACTGGTTATCTTATTCGTGTATTCCTGTTTTGCTTCCCTGATGCCGTGGGACAGGTCGGCTCTCGCTCTTCTCAGGCCAGTTTCATCCCCGGCTCTGAAGGCGTTGTTTCTGGCCCTCAGCAGCCGATGCACTTCCCCCGTCAGCCATGGCAAGTTGTCTGTCAAGGTAAATATTTTATCTGAGTGTGACAGATGTCAACTAGCTTGATGTATAATTGATGTCTGGGTCTGGCTACATAGCCCATTGTATATACATGGTGATGGTTATAATATCAAGCTAGCGATCGATGCTAACATGCTAATGACGCTAGCATGCTGTCTAGGCTAGTGCCAGTGTTTAGCAAGTTAACTTATCAGTGGAGTAGCTAGCTATAGGAAGAGGGAGATTGGGAGCTTGTATGTTCATGATAACCTTATCAAGAGACGTCTGACCATCTAATCTTGCACTGTATTACAAGTTATGCTGTATCTTCTCAATGTGAATGTCATAATGCCATAACAATTACTGGCAGATAATATAGTTCACAGTTAGCTAGGATATGACAGTAGATGTCCATTTGTTAAAAAAACTAAAAACATTAAATATTCAATTTATTTTATTTAAAAGGCATATTATGAAAGTATTCTTGTTTTATTATTTCATACATTTTACAGTTGGCCAGGTGGACAACATGTATGAAGGCAAATCACTGTCAAAATCCGAGAGCGCAAATGAGATCCATGCGCGTGCGAAAATCAAACAGCGGCGCACGTATTTTACTTAAAATGTACATTATTTTCCCCTGACCTGCAATCTGAAAATCTCCCCCTAGCGTCTGTGTCAGAGTGATATCCGGTTTATCCAAAGACGAGGATTGTAACCAATTAGATGTAGAGATACAATGGCGACTGGGTCCGCCCACTTACTGTCAAAAAGAATTCTGCTGGCGTGAGACGAAATTTTGCTCGCGGAGTGATGTAAAAGCGCTCGTCAAAGTAAAATAGGTACGCGGCTGTTTGATTTTCGCGCGCGCATGGATCTCATTTGCGCTCTCGGATTTTGACAGTGATTTGCCTTCATACACATGTCTCAGCAAGATGATGTTCAAGAAGGACCATCAACAAGCACAGATGTGCTTAGTTACACTGACATTCTGTGACTGTTCTTCCTTTGTGTGGGTTCACCAGAGCTTTGTGTACATTATAGCCCAAACCTGAATGCTCTGCTATACCAAATTGTGAGAAAACGGAAAATCCAGAAAAAAGTATTTCCTATATTTTAAATACTAAATACATGTATTGTATTTTGTTACATTTTCTGGCACCAGTATTTTGTATTTTATTTTGATACATTTATTTGAGGGGTATTTTGTATCAAAATACATTTTGATGTATTTTTGCCCATCTCTGGCACTATGTCGATTGGGTGTTTGCACCAAGTTTGTTATCGATATGTACTCAATCTTTCTTTTCTATCTTTATTATATAATGAGGGGTGGGTTAGACACCCAAACCGTCCAGCTGAGTGTAGGAATTATTCTGCTCCATCGTTCACTGCATTTCCCCCCCCCCCCCATCAGGTAAATTGGTGGGTGAGGGATGGTATGCGTTTCTTTAAAATGGCCCCTGGGTGTCTCGATGATGTAGGAGCTGTAGACACCACCTCTCTGAAGCATATCTTTGACCCAAAGATTGCAAGGCTACAGGTGCACGTCACACGCTCTCTCTCCGGGACATCTGTCACTCAAAGGGGAAAACGGGGTCTTCTTACTCGTATGGAAGGAGAAACAGCGCCTCCAAAATCACGATAATGGCCAAAAATATATGACACCCGTAGTGATAAGAACCACTATAGGAAATGAACGCCAACAATTAAGAGCGTTACTATTTTCGCAGAAGGTCCCCCTAATAAGTTATTACACTATAATAAATACAATTATTGCATTCAAATGCATTTATTGCACAAGAATAAATTAAATATTTTCAGGATATGATTGTCCATTTACCACTTACTCAGAATACTCAGCTTCCAAAGACAATGAGATTCTAATCTGAATGCACGTCTTTCAAATGTGATGAGTTGATTCTAGTTACTTTTCTTGGTAATCTGATCATTACTCTTGAGAACATGTATCCCGTCACTACCCAACGCTGCACATCGGTAACATGAAGGTGAGTGAGGTAAAGAAAGACGTGTCAGCCATGGAGTCCAACCTCTGTGTTTATTAGAGATGATACAGTGTTGGCCTTTAAGACATTTATACAAAACAAACAAGACAGCAGCTTCTGATTTGTCTCCATACTGGCTCCGACCTCTGACCTCTTGTCCTCGGATGGAGACAAGTGTGTGTGTGTGTCCGTGTTGCTTTTCCAGGAGATATCTGACAGGTTTTCTTCTCTCTTACTGGCCGAGGTGCTTGTCCCCCCCCCATCAGCATCATCTCACAAACCCACAGTAGGTTTGAACAGCTCTGGTCCAGGACTGGGCCTCAAGACCACATCACGTCAAGTTTCCTGTGCAGCTGCCAACTCGTTATCACTATTAAACACGCTGTGATTGATGACTAAATAAATTAAATGCTCTCGTAGTCCAGGTTGGTTAAGTTCACTCTGTGTTATTCATCTCCAGAACGAGTTAGTCAGGGTCAGTCTGTGGAGTCAGTTGTACGAGGTCTCTGTGGTTCTGGAGGAGCTTTGTCATTGTTGGTTCTCTCAGCCTGGAGACTCTGAAACACCGACCGGCTTATTTACCAGACACGAAGAGTATCACAACATCTCAACAGCCTCAAACTTTATAGTTTACAATTTGGAGGTTTTCTATGGACCATTTTTATTTAATAATAATGGCACTCAAGTCTCTTGGAAACCATGCGAACAGTTGTAGTTATTTCAACTGTGTGCTCTTCACACTACAGTACCCATGAGCCTCAGCAGCTGTTATAAGGACGATGAAATCAGAACCACTGCTCACTGTTTACAGGTACATGGACCCTGGACAGCCAGTAACACCAAACCCATTCATCACTAAATGAGTTAGTTATATTACTTCATAAAGAGCAGTGAGGTGAAACCTGAACTTTCATGTTCTGGTCCAGAAGTATGAAGACTAAAAATCCAGTACTACAATACAAGCTCTGCTCAGCAGCATGGTTCCAATATGGATGGTATATTTAAAAAAATACTATGCTATGGAGGTTAAAAGCTAGCGATCTTAAAAAACCACTGACCTTAGCCAACGTGGAGAACAATGTCATCATTCACAAAGCCTCTTTACCTGCTGCTCACTGACAGGATGTTGGTGATGGGCGGAGCCTGGACCACACCTGGCCTCCAGTCACATACCCAAACACATGATATTTACACAACCTGTCATCTAAACCTTTATAAAGTGTCCGTCGCCGCAGTCAACGGACTAGGAAACGACTGCAGGTACACATGTATGTATGTGTGTGTGTGGACCAGGATGTGGACCGGCTCTTTGAACCGGCTTCTTCAGACTGATGGACATTTTGTTTCCCAGCTTTCCCTCAAACCTAACAAAGACAACTGCTTTTGAAAATGCTTTACAATCATTCTTGTGGAGATGATACGTGTGTGTGTGTGTGTGTTTGTCCTGTGTCCACTCATACACTCCACATCAGCACGCTCGCTGTCCTCACATTTATGCCCCAAACCTGCTGGTCACCCAGTCCTCTGGATCCACAACCAACTGATGCGTTCAGTGTCAGCTGCTGCCCCCCCCCACCCATCCAACACACAGTGACTGAGGCTGAGGGCTGCCCAGTGCCGACATGCTGGCAGGAGGTTGGCAACAGATCAGGGGTTGCATGGAGAGTTGGCTGGGATCCTTTTCAAACAGTGACCAACACTTTGAGGAAGATCTCATGTTGAACAGGAGCCCCAGTAACATCAGCTCTTTTGCTCCTGTTGATTCCGGATCATCTAGTCCAGTTTAATCCAGAGCCAAGTGCGGGCTCATCCAGACTCCGGTCCTGGCTTCTTCTGTGGTGCGTTTGTCCGTCTGTGTGCGTGAGGGGGTGTGGCCTCAGCTCCAGCTCGTGCTCTGGAGTTCTTGGCGGAGCCAGGACGGCAGCGCATGGCCAAGTCGGTTCAGCAGACGCAGCAGCTCCATGTTGTGCTCACGGTAGTGCCCGGCCAGAAAGGCACGTGACTGTGCACGCACACGCACGCACGCACGCACGCACGCACGCACGCACGCACACACACACACACACACACACACACACACACACACACACACACACAC